CATTCTGGGGCTTGGTCCACAGGGGAGAGTTACAAATAACTATTGAATCTCGCGCAGAGTGAGCGTATGCATAAGGCATCTCTCAGTGTCAAAAAAAAGGTTCTGGGTAGGGTTTAGTTAGTGGTTAGAACAGTCACCCGGATTACGAAAGGTCATGGGTTCGTGTCCCATCTCAGAGTGCCAGGCACAAAGTGGTTTCTTTAAGCATTTTCCAAGAACAGTTAATTATTTTTAAATAATATTATGGTAACTACTCGAACGCGATTCGGACCCTAAAATGACGGTTTATTCTACTACCCCAATGCGATTCGGACCCAATGACGGTAGCTACGTATTGTTACATCTAATTAGGAAATTAAATTCTTTCATCATAAAGTACTCGTATTATTACAAATTATCTAATTGGTTTTCATCATAAACTTAATTAGTGCACATTCACAATAACATTTTTATTTCCATATTTACGAGTGAAAATATAAAAAGCTTTCGTCTACCTATAACTATAAAAAGTTCTGAAGTTGCCAGAGTTACAGAATATGGGGGCTGGTGATATCATTGCTACGTGAGTTTCTTCCGCCTGTTCTTCTTATCAGTGAAAGTCGTCTTGAGATTATATGTAATAGAAAAGGTAACAAAGGTTTTGTATCATTGAATCTACAGAATAGTAAATCTGATTAACCATCCCGTTATAAAAAAAATCTACAATTATAGTTGTCCCCTATCAATATCCAGTAAAAGCTTAGAACAAAATTTTACAGGAAATGACATAAATATATAACAGGGATGATGACTAATCTTTGTTTGTTTGTCCGTCAGGTAGAGTGTTAAAAAATATTAAACACGTATTTTTTTATTTTTTTCGTAATCATAAAATTACGGCGTTACATTGCGTTGAAATTTCACATGACGTCACGTTATGGTACGTTTTTTACTCAACTGTGACGTAGCGAGCCCCCACTCCTCAACTTTAATGCCTGTTATCTAAGCTATTTCTTGTTAATTTGAGGTAAAAAAAAATAGGTATCTAATATTTTTCTATTATCTGACTGACGGACTAAATAGAATTGCATTTTTTTTACCCAGTCATCATCCCTATTTTAGAAAAAAAAAATTAACGAACGAAAGTAAATTTCAACGAACGTTTATCACTAGAAAACGTAACGACGGACTGTTCTCATTATTGTGATGTTGAAATTACCTGGTTTATACCAGGTATTCTTCCAATATCGAAATCCAAAATGATACGTATCGACCCCTAGGGGTCGGCGGAAGAAAACGACACACTACAAATGGCCAAATAGGGAATTGGGAATTCGTAAGATCGGGGTTCGAGATAGTGGATCTCATTTAGCAGCTCGTGACTTTAATTTCGGGTTTCCACCACCACACAAATCATGATTTATTGCTTAGCTTTTACCAGAAAACGTAACAAACAGACAGATCGTATCAATATTGTAAACTTCTTCGTCTTGTTGTATTACGCAACTTCTAATGTCAACTCAAAATGTATAATTTGCACCTGTTTTACGTATTACAAATAACAAAATAATATGGAGTTTTTTTTTTTTACTCAGTTTTGCGTTTTAACAGAATCGCGGGGCTGGATATCTTTTGACTGACAAGAAGAATAAGCTAAAATAAAATAAACTAAACAGCTCTTTAAAAGAAGATCTTAAACATGATGAAGTTTGCTTCTTCAGAAGCTTGTTTCTTCTGTTTTAGATAAAAAATAGAACTGTTGTTTATAATTAACTTTCAGCAATTGCGGGGCCAGTGCGGATTGGTATGTGTTAACGATTGCAGATACAATCGAGATCAAAGACCTAACCTGCCTTCAAAAGCGCGAAGGAGCTTGAGATAGTTAATTTTATGGTCACCCATCCTACGTTTGAATTTTTCGGGTTTGGATTTTACAGAATCGCAGGGCGAGTAACAGCCAATAACTATTTTGCGGATAAAAATATATCCAATCCAATTTATTTTCATCTATTTATTCACGCAGTATCCATTGCGGGGTAGGCAGAGAACACCGAACGCCTCACATACATCTTTAACCTTATCCACTTTCATTACTCTTTTCATATAAACTCGCCGGTTTTTATGGCTTCTGACATTACCTCCACAACTTATTTTTAATATAGAGAAAGTTGGAACGCATATCATAGACAATTTCATTGAACACTAAACTTTTTAGTAGAGTAGGACATCTTGATTTTTATAACAATTTTTAAAGTTCTATACCAAAAGGGTAAAAAACGGACCCCTATCATTGGGCCCTGCTGACCGTCCGTCTGTCATCAAGCTGTATCTCATGACCCGAGATAGATAGTTGAATAGATAATTCAAGTTTTGACAGACGATGTTGCTATTTCCGCTATAATAAAAATACTAAAAACAGAATAAAATAAATATTGAAAGTGGTTTACATGTAAGAAACTTTTTTTTCAAATCTATAAAATAAAAAAAAATAAAATTATTTATTCAGTCTAGGCTGTTACAAGCACTTGTGAAAGTCGAGAGCTACGCCATCGATTCGTAAATCTTCGTAATCTAGACCTTGTACCGAGAAGAACCGACAAGAAACTCGGCAAGGGCTGCTTTTTTCTCCCTGTTTTCTTTCATACAGAGCGTCAAGATTGAAAAATGACTTCATTAAAATATGAAGTCACTTTCCATTACAATATTACACAATATAAAAGTAAAACAGTATTTTCGTCAATCCAATCACATGTGTAGCCAAAGAAGCTCACCGATAAACAATTTAATATACATGAAAAATGAGCTAATTTAACACCAAGCAGTTTTGTCGTTAAAATATTAATGAGTAGACAATTCTTAATATGGGTTGTAAACTTAGGTAATGGTAAATTTAAAATTTCCATAGGAATTTTGTTATAGTGTACACCTTGACCCATAAATGACGATAGAACCTTCTTTAGCCTGCATGACGGCAAAACAAGTTTATCTTTGTTTCTAGTATATATATATGCTCTATATATATATTATTATAACGTTGGTTACGTAGTTACGAATGAAAATGGTAAAAGAGACAAAATTGTTTAAAAGCCCTGTCGTAGAATCCTAAAGTTATCCTGTTATACGTGCATTGTTCCTTGCTGGTTTTTAAATAGGACGGCTGTATTGTTCTATGTTAGTATAGTGCAGCGCCACTGGATTAAGACTACGCCCAAAGACGAAAGAAAATGGAGACATTAAAAAGGAAATAATAAAACAAATAGAAACAGATGATGGACGCGGCTGATGTCGTGTTACCTTCGTTTTTGATCTTTATAACATTTCTTAATATTACATCGGTAAATGGAGAGGCAAACTTTATTTTTCACTATAAACAAGATTATAGGTAACCCTTATCATGAACCGAAATGAAAATAAAGTTTCTCGTTTTCTTTTTTATATTTAGATATAACGTATTTGTTCCCAATCAGTTTGAAAAAAAATATCCACTGTCGGAATACCGGCCGTCCAGCCCTATGAATGGAATCGAATGGGGAAAATAATCCGTGTCCCACTGCAGATTTCACTAAATAATGACTCATAATTTGTTCAATTTCGATGGAATATTATTTTGTTAGGTGAAAACTTGTACATAGAATTTTAATAGTTTCATCCCATCCCATCCCATTTTTATCCTTTATCGTTATAGAGAACTCGCATTAATAACATCTAATTGAGCTAAATTTATCGGTAGGACAACTTTCACTGTGCATAAATATGAATGTTGCTTAATATAATGAGCTGCACGTTTGTTGAAATGAATGGGTATTCAAATTAATTATAATTTTGAATATAAATATTATAAGATAATATAACATAAATCGATTCAGATAACAATAACTTTACATAGTTTCCGATTCAGGTTTCTATAATCAAAATATTTTAAATATTACTATTCAATTAAAATGATTGAATTAAAGTTCTTTTGTACACCGGTAAAACTTAAATTCAATGAGACAAATAATAGAACTCTCCACCGCACAACTTTGTCTAGGCTGAGGAATTATTTAAATAACCTACCTTATATAACAAAACTTTTAAAGTGCCCGTATCGATTGAGGTACCCAGTTAAGATATCGACTTTACTGTGCTTCCTTTAAGGTCCCAGGATCGATTCTAGTTTATGAAGATGTAGAAAATACGCGTTTCAAATTGGCTCGTGCCTATTACTTTTGTATATCTATATTTCTATTATAATAGGCTTTTAGCTTGTGATCTGATAATATTTAGGTATAGCGGTGTTAGCAATTATATTGATCAAGTCACATTAAGCCACGTCTGTTTGTTTTTGAACGTTCAAATTCAAAAACTACACAACTGAATCTCATACTATTACAATAAGTGGACGGAGAAATTATTGAAATAGGTTTAGATGTATTATTCACAAAGCTTTTATGTGAATCCGCTAAAAAATGTTATAACTTAAATGTAAAAAAAAATGCTGGTCAGAATTTACACTAATTGCTTTAATTTACCTAAAAGTTTGATTACTATCTAAGAGAGAAAGCTCTTTTAGATTATTTATGGTTTTGTAAAATTCTTTATACGTGTATTTATTACACCTCAAGAATAGGTACACATTGAAAAGCTCTACCTTAAAAATGTGCTGAAAAAGTCGAACTTAATTTGTATCTAAGAAAAAAAAATAAAACGAGCTCTATGCTTTCCTGAGCTTCGTCTGTGTCGCAAACGATAAAGCTCCGTGCAATTTACTCGGAGCTTTCGACACAAGTACCGATTTACTGCAACAGAATTATGCGGGCTGTTTTATCAATTGTTTCCTATATTATACATAGTCTGCATAGCCAAACTTAAAGACTAAAAGAAATTGTCCTCGTCACAGACTACATTATTAATAGACAAAAGAAACACGGTATGAAAAACCAGAATTTAGCATGATTAATTTTAAAAATGTGTGCATAGACCACTTACCTATTACGAAAAAAAAACAGTCGCTGTCTGCATACGATTTAATGTTATTGGATTCACTGCACTCTATCTGAACACTGTTTTGAAAACACTGAGAGAAAAATACACACGGTTTTTTCGGGATGAATGACACGTTTGCACGCACGACTTCTACGAAGCAGGGGCGAACGCGGACTGGCGTACTGGAATATTGTTTTGTAGACTGGTTTGATTGGTGTTACGAGCTTTCGGGTGCCAGCTACCTGAAAGTATTTTTCGTTTTTACCCTGTTATATTGAATGTTTTTTATGTTACCGGTAGCAACACTAGACATTTTATACCAATGGATCTGCAATTTTATTTGTATATAGATTTAGATGAATAAAGTATAATAAACACCAATCATAAACAACAGATAGTGAACTAATAAAATATTATCATACGTCTTGTATTGTCTTGTATATAATTTTTCAATGAAATTTTTGTATGAAAAAAGCAAGAAAATTTTACATGGAGCTCTTCTTAGCAGTACTGTAATTTCATTAGATTGTGTAGTTAGGTTTTTCACCTACCTATATTTCCCGATGTTTCGACCAGATTACACCGGATGTGGTCACGGTCAGATTAGATGACCTGACACCTATAGGTATATGAAAAACCTAACTATCGAAATCTATCGCGTTAATACCCGTCTTATACAATCTAATTTAATGCGAAAGTTTAAAAGTCTACTGTAATTTCATGTTATCTGTGGTATAATTACGGCACATCCGGTTCTCCGTATCTATCATATGCTATTAATCTGCACTTATATTATAAAGATTTATTATTTGTTTGTTTGTTAGCATCGAAGAGGTTCCGAAACTATTGGTCCGATTTTAAAATTCTTTCATCCATGGGAATCTACATCAAACGCAGCTGACTCATACTATAATTAATGCGAGTGAAGTGGGGTAACAGGTAATCTGTGAATCAAAGATTTCGATAACTATCTAAGTACATATAACATTTTATAGTAGTAGTATGTACACATTAATAAGTTTCCAGACGTAGATACACGAACCGGTGGTATAGTTTTTAAAGTTTGGAATAATTAGATAATTAATTTTAATCATCAAGTTACAGATAAAAAGTTCACCCCAGCGCCGGGGTATATTCCTACGTCGGCCACCCCGAATTTGATACCTGTGCACGCACACAACTGCCCGGTCCCTTCGAAGGGCCCATGTGCATGTGTGCACACGGGTTCGATTCCCGCACTGTCAAAAGTTGACGCGGTCAAGTGCGAAGCGGGCTTGAGAGGGACGGTCACATCTTTTTTTTTCTTCTACATCTATAAGCCCTGGTGTAATATTTGTGAAAAAAAGACGGTTACATCTATTTTATCTATATTAGATTAGATTTTGATATTTAAGCAAATCAAATCAATCTTTATTGTTGATCACAGGTTATATAAAGATATTGGATGCAAGGACTGAATAGTTACACCGTGATCTGCCTAAAAGGCATACAATATTAGTAGGTTAGTAATTGTCAACTAATCTAATCAATAACATGTTATGTCAAAAAAAATCAATTAATTCATTAAGTATTTATACATTTACAAAGTACTGTCAGCTAGATACTCGTTTACACTATAATATGCTTTAGCTACTAACAATTTACAAAGTTTTCTTTTAAAAACATTACAATTATCCAGATTACGTATTGTTTTTGGAATTTTATTAAAAATTTTTGGAGCCATACAAAATATACTTTTGTTCAACAGTGCTGTCTTAGAGGGTATTGTACACAATTTGTCTCGATGACGCAATCTCGTCTTATTTTCAAACAGTTGTTGATTCTGTTTGACAAAAATACCAACTTCGAATATATAGATTGATGGCAGGGTCATAATATTTAGTTTAATAAAATATGGCCTACAGGTATCCGTACTCTGTAAGTGACACATGCTCCTAACACATTTTTTCTGGGCTCTAAAGGCAGTTACAGAATCAGTCGAATATCCCCAAAATATAATGCCGTATCGAACAGTAGAAACTACGTACGCGTGATAAGCTGTAAGGACCGTGCACTGATTCGCGATCCTACTAAGTTTGTACAGTGCACAAGAATACTGGGACAACTTTTTGCAAACATGTTCAGTGTGTGTTTTCCAAGTCATCCTTTTATCAATATACAAACCCAGAAATTTTGTAACATCTGATTCTTTTATTTGTGTACCAGCATAGTTAATGTTTAAGTCAAAGAGTTTGTTAGTCCTTTGTCGGAAATTCATAAATTGAGTTTTTTCTAGATTTATTTTAAGATCGTTATAATTTAACCACTGAATAATTAACTTTAATGTCATATTTATTTCATTTTCATGATCACCTACATCACTATTACCTATGAACAGAAGAGTACTATCATCTGCAAACAAAGTCATGTCATGATTAGTTATATTGGGCATGTCGTTAATATATATCAAAAATAATAGGGGTCCCAGCACACTGCCTTGAGGCACGCCAAAGGGATAATTATATCTGATTTTAGATGAATATACAACTTCTGTTCTAGTCCTTTGACAGATTTTTTTAAGTTGTGTTTTTTGTCGTCGATTAGATAAATATGACTCTATTAGTTTGTGTATATTACCGCGGATTCCATATTGATATAACTTAGATAATAAGATCCTATGATTAACGTGATCAAAAGCTTTGCTCATATCCATGAAGAGCGCTGTCGCACGAACTCTGGCATCCATACTCTTCGTTACTTTTTGCAAAAAATTGAATATCGCCATATTTATAGTTTTACTCTTCCTGAATCCCATTTGTTGGTTTGCTAATATGTTATGTGATTCAAGAAAATTATAGATAGCTCCATAAATTACCTTTTCCAATATTTTAGAAAAAATGGGTAACAAAGCTATCGGCCTATAAGAATTCATTTCTTCCTCACTATGCTTTTTGAAAATTGGTTTAATTGTTGATATTTTAAGTCTATCAGGAAATATTCCCTGTTCTATACATAAATTTGTTATGTAACTAATTACAGGAGCAATAATTTCTGCCACTTCTTTCACAACTTTTGTTATTATGCCATCATAGCCCGCACTATTTGAATTATTCAGTTTTGTTATTATTTTTAAAATTTCACTAGAATTTGTAGGGTTAATAAACACAGAATTGCATTGATTTTTAATAGTTTTGCATGTCCAATTTTTGTTTTGATTGGAATCATCTTTAATTTGGTCAATAAAATAGTCATTAAAAGCAGATACGATTGTTTTAGGATCATTTATTATTTTATTATTTATTCTTATCTTAGATATTTCGTCACAGGGGAGGTGTTTTCTCTTGTTGTTTATGACTTGCCAAGTCGCTTTAGATTTATTTTTAGATGATGTAATTAAGTGGTTGTTTTTTGCTTTTTGTGTTAGTTTAATTATGGTTCTAAGCCTCTTTGCGTATTGTTGGAAAATATCTTTATTGTTTGTGTTTTTGTTAGTTCTATATTTCCACAGTAAAATTCTTTTCTTTTTACAGCATGTTTTGATTCCTGGTGTTAACCATTTTGGGCGAGATATTAAATTTTGCCTGATTTTTAGTTTTGGAAAACATAAGTTGTAGAAAAGCAGGAATGTTTCATAAAACTCGTTAAAAGATTGATTTGCTTCTTTGGATTCGAAAACATTACTAAAACTAATTTGACTCAAGCAATTTTTAAATTTGGAACAATTTTCGCCAGAGTAATCAATTCTGTATCTAAACCAGTATGGAAATGTGCATGTCTTTTTGACTGGACATTTCATAATTTGTGCAGTATGATCTGATAATGCATATTCAATTACTTCGGCTTTACAGCGATATATATTATGCAAGAAGTTGTCAAGACACGTGCCACTACTCATTCGAGTTGGTTCTCTAATTGCGATTTTAAGGTTAAAACTCCAACATAGTTCTTGAAATTCCTTTGAATATCTGGTCTGTTTTAAAATATCTATATTGAAATCACCAACTATAATAATTTTGTGATTTCTTAATTTATTTAAAATATTATGTAATGTGAAAAAGAATGTCGCATATGATTGCGATTTGCCATCAGGAACTCTGTATATGCAGATAACATAAATTTTGTGTTCGACTAATTCAACAGCCGAGCATTCAATGACATTACTAATTGATAGTTTATTTATTTCTGAAATTGGTCTAAAATTGTGTATGTTACCAACTAAGATACATGACCCACCACATCTCTTTTTTCTGAAAAAGCATGAAGCAATTCTAAAATTTGGTACATTAACGTGGTCTAAGTCATCTTGAGACAAATTATGTTCAGTAATACACAAAATATCTATTGGCTTACCCAATTCAGTGAAGTCATCAAGAGCAATTGTCAAGAGGTCCGTTTTATTAATAAGTCCATTAATATTCTGATGCATTATGTAAAGACAGTCATACACGAAATAATTCATTAGTATTGGAGGCATCATTAGTGTTAGTATTATCAGTAATTTCTTTACAGTTTTCAATGTCGTTTTCTTTAGTAGTATTAATATAATTTATGGCATAATTTTTTGTATTTTCAATGTTATTTTTGTTAGTAATTTCACAAATCATGTCATAGTTTATAATATTAGTCTCAGTTTGCTTATTTTCAGTACTGCAATATACTATATTATTTCTGTTGACATTTTGGTCAACATTAGTATTTGAAAATTGAAAGCAAGTTTGAGTACTTTTGTCAACAAGAGATATATGTTTTGGTTGTACATTATAATTGTTTAATTTCATTTCCTCATTATATTTAATTATTTTATTTTTATATGTCAAATAGAGTATTTCTTTCAACAATGATCTAGTTAAGTTAATACAAAAATAACTTTTATATGGTATTGATCTGCTGTAATTCATATCCATATAAAGAACATTACGATAATTGCGGCATATGAATTTCAATTCATAATTTAATTTGCTTTCGTACAAGTTTTTATTATATGGAATTTCACTTACAATTACATTGGTGTGTTTCGTAGAGTTTAGCCACAAAGTGAGATTACTTTGAAATTCATATGGATTCTTATCATTTGTTCCTCCTAAAACAATTATATAGTCATCACTAGAAAGTTTTGCTATTTCAGTATTACAGGATTTTAATACGTCACATAATTTTGCCCCTGGTTTCAAAAAGCTTGTCACTTTGTATGAAGATCCTAAAAGGCCTTGTAATTTATAATATAAACCCTTTCCTTGTTGATCAGCTATAATGATTATTCTCCTTGTGCTTTCTTCTTTCTTTAAGTTAGGAATATTAATATTTTCTGAATTTTTAACGTCACTAGCAGTTGCTTGATAAAGTTGAGAGTCGCTTTTTCTGTGATCTTCATTATATTTATTATTGGTATCAGATTTTCCTATAATATCTTCTTTGGATGGTGATTTCAAAGGCAATATTAGTTTAGTGCCTTTTAACTCACTTGAAAAACAACGGCGTTTCCTTTTCCCAAATGAATAAACGGAACTTGGAGTACTCGAGAATTGTACCTTCTTATATTCTCCTATTAATTTCTGAGAATGTTCTAAATTTGTCTTTAATTGATTATTTTCATCTAGCAGATTTTCAATTTCTTGATGTGCTGATGCTAAGTCGGTAGAAAGCTTGACTATCTTATTATTTAAATCAAGAAAAGCCTGACTTTCATTTAACGTATTGTCAGGTAAGCTCATCATTGTTGCATCAAACATTGATGAATCAGATATATCATTCAGAGAGTTACATTTAATAGGTTTGCGTATTGTAACGTTATCCATATTTATCTTATACTTTTATAGTAGAAAACAGGGAAAGAAAAAAAAAAAAAAAATATCGAAAAGTAGGCAAGCAAAAGAGAAAATTAAAATTATAAAAAGAATAGACTTCTCCGAAGATTTGAACTGCAGGCCATCGATATTTCGGTAAACAGTGTTCCGTTCGGCTATCTGTAGCCTTATTGTAAACGTTGAAATCATTAATCCGATAGTTGTAATTTGGTAACTGATGATTGAGATGGTGAGGTATTAGTAAAAATATTTTTTATTGACAGACTTGAACGAATTACAGAACACTGCACAAAAATATATTTCTTGCAATTTTCCAGTTATTCCAAATGTCAGATTGTTGTTTCCAGTTAAATTAGGTATATAGTATTCATTAATGCACTGTTTTCTTTATTAGTATCACCATTACTGTTCACTTGAATTGAAATCACTTGTTTTCAAAAATAATTGGCTTAATATATGACTTTATGCGCTGCCTTCATTTGTACAAGGTTTTCAGTACACAAATTTTGTTTGACCATTATCTTTGCAAGTTAAAACGAGGATTTGATATTTTTATTTATATTATGAACTCGGTTGGTCTTTCCTAGAGTAACTGTCACTGTCAACCTATATTAATTTCCATTTAGATGGGTTCAGTTGTCTAAACGTAACAACACTTATTTATCTTACTTAAGCTATCGATACTTTTAATACGATTCTAAAATCTAGCTAAGTATCGATACTAGAACCATATGCTGATCAAATTAGAACTATACCGAGTTTGCCAAAGCATATGCAGTGATATATACCAACTATATTTAATCATCATTTAAAATATAGCATTTTATAATCAACAATAAATATCGATTATAAGTTTATTGGAAATTAACAATATTGCCGAAATAAATATCGATTCAAATCGATTGTTTTTTCCCAAGCCTATTCCTTATGAATTTTCCGGATGTCGGACACAGTAGTGCACAAGCGTAAACACGTTTTTCATTGCCGCCATCACGGACCTGAAAAAACCGGTCCGGAATAGAGAAAAGTAAAATTCCTGACAGTGCACAAGCGCGCATTACCTACATATGGCCTGACATATCGGACCTGAAAAAATCGGACCGCCGGACATGAAAATTCAGTGTAGTTGATTATTACAATAAGACAACATTTTTTTATTTAAATTATTATTCCACATCTGTAGACGAGTGGTACGCCGGTTAAAAGGTGTCGCCACCTCTTAGGTCCTTGGTTCGGTTTCCAGTTGGGTCAACGTAGAGAATGATCTTTTCTATATTGTCTCGGGTCTGGGTGTTGTGTTACCTCCTTTGTCTCAGATACTCCATCATACGGGGGCTTTAGCTACTCATCTTGGAATCTGAGTAATTAATGTGATGTTGTTTAAAATTTATTTTATTTACGTAGATTCAGACGATTTTTTTCTATACTATTATATAATTTGTCTCCTTAATTAAATCAGCACGAACGCTAGTTTTCTAAACAAACACAAACACCTAGTCGAATATTCTGCCGGATTGCGAAATAATCCAATCCGTTGACTGATCTTTAGGCATTTTTCTATCTGATTTTCTTACAAAATATTGAATTATCGAATTTTTCATGCACTGATTACTTTTCGCTACTAGAGAGTAAATTTGTTTTAAAAAACAATATACTTATATATGATAAAATATCTGACAAACATCGTGAAATTATTTACACAAATGTCTTTATACATTAGTTTTTTCAAAGAGTCAACATACCTGAGATATTGCAATTCCAAAATGTGAAGAAATCGTATTCTACGTAATATGCACATTCCACACCACAAACGAATCAGCGTATGCACGAAACGTAGAATGGCAGGAGGTATCATATCACATACGTATTTTATTTGTAATAATGATGTGCACAACTTTCATCTATAACCAATATTTTTAGTGCCTGACGATTCATGTCGAGTGTGCAACTAAGGCAGATAAGCACCGATTCTGTAATTTTCAAGAAACAAAGCAATAAACAAACTACAATATTACAACGATCCAAGATTAAGGGCACTGACACACTGGAAAAACGCTTTGTATTCACCAAACGTCACTTTTCTTAGGTCGAGAGAGAGATTGTGGTTGATGCAAAGTAGCCATTTGAAGCTGTAGGAACACAAGAAGAGATACTGGCGCACTCGAGAAAGGTGACAGTTGGGTTAAGACAAAACTCATGCTCAAGTGGTGGAAAGCCTATCGGAAGTAAAATTTAGAGCCGAAACTCTTGTATTTTTATTAATTTTATATACTAAAATTAATTTGTTTGCTCATAATTTACAACCGAAAGCGTTATAAGGCCTGCTTTCCAGCGGTGATGCGTCAACGTCGAGCGCACGCAGCATTATTCAGATTTATTGGCGGAAAAAATATATCGGCCGACAGCAATGGCGGACGGGTTTTGGCGGGAAACGTCGACGATAGTCGGCATTGTTTATGGTGTGTTATGTTCAGAGTTAACACCATTTCCAATTTTGCTGGGACAATACCTTATTTTTTGATCACGATTCGGTTTTAAAGAAAATAGATATTAAAAACTCGATTTTCGATTTTTTGGATTGATATTCCATAAACTCAAAATAAACATATCGCTTAATATAATTTATTTTGTACTGTCCTCATTCAATTAGAAAACAAGGGCATAATATTATATATATGTGAGGTAATATCATTAAAACATAATATATATTGAAAAATCTATAACATTTCCTTTTTAAAATCAATTTTTTCGATAATATTCTAGAATGTTGTAGAACATTCTAGGTACTTCTGGTGTAGGGTATATAAAGCCGCGCTCGCGATTTGTTTAGTCAGTTTGAAGAAAAATAGACGAGCGACAAGTTCGAACACTATACTTATACGAGTACTTGTTAGGCCACAGTGCGCGGGCTGCGGCTGACAATATCAACAATGCATTAGGCGCTGGAAGTACAAGCCATGCGACGGTGTCCCGATTGGTTTGACCGTTTTAAATCAGGAGACAGGAGTCTTGAAAGTCAGCCACGCTCAGGGCGACCACCCGCAGTGAATGATGACGATTTGCGCCGCGAACTGCAGTTGAATCCGGATGCTACCACTCGTGAATTAGCGGAAGCACTTAAATGCAGTCACCACGCCGTGGAACACCATCTGCATGAGCTTGGTTATCGAAAAGTTTTGGCTCGGTGGGTACCGCACATCCTTACAGACGCCAGTCGTGCAGTCCGTGTCGCTATCTGTCAGTCACTTTTGCTGCGACCCCGACGTAAAGAGTTTTTGTCAGATCTGGTTACTGGAGATGAATCATGGATTTATTACGAGAACGATACACGTCGTGCTTTTTGGCTGCCTCGAGAAGAAACGCCACCAACTCAACCGAAGCCGAGTCAAAAGAACCGCCGAAAAATTCTGCTTTGCTGTTTCTGGGATGCGCAAGGCATACTGTTTTATGAGCTATTACACAATGAAACTATAAACGCTGACAAATATTCAACCCAGCTTACCAAATTATCTGCCGCTATCAAGAAAAAACGACGAAGACGAGTCAATGTAGTTTTACTGCACGATAACGCTCGACCTCACGTCGCATCTGTGGTTCGCCGGCAGTTGGAGAACTTGGGCTGGGAGACGATACCCCACCCACCTTATTCCCCAGACCTCGCCCCATCAGACTATCATTTGTTTAGAGCCCTGAAACAGCATTTGCGGGGTAAACAATTTAATGATTTCTCTGACGTAGAGGCGGAGTTGAACAACTTTTTCGAGGCACAGCCATCAGAGTTCTGGGCAAAAGGCATCCAAACTTTGCCGGATCGTTGGCAAGAAGTCTTAGATACTAATGGTAATTACATCATTGACTAAACTTTTTTTATTGTCATAATAATAAAAAAGTAAAAACTTAAACCAAGTGTCTCATTATCTTAGATCCCAAACTAAAAAAACTAAAGCCCTTAAATCTGAATCAAAGAAGATACCGTTACTACCCATTCAACCATAAAATACAAAGGTTCATTATCTACATTGGCATGATCGGTAATCAAACCCGGATCCTCAAAAATGGCGATGTATTAAAAACCGGTCTGCGAGCCCCTCGTACACGGAAGTCGGAAATATTATTTTAAATTTGACTTTTGTGAGCTGTGTCAACCAGAGTTGAGTCATTATTTTGAATTAATAATACCTAAGTTTAATGAAACGATTCATTCTTATGACTTAAGATATGAGCATGGAAATATTATTTTAAAACATAATATAAAACTTTTTATAATTATTTTTTCGCAGTTTCACTGGCCACCACAGCGGTTTAAAAATCCGATTTTTATAGTCCCATTTTTTTCTCAAAAGATGGCCATCCTTGTTGCGTTAATGGATTGCTTGCAGCAAGGTGCTGGTTTATTGTTTATTAATATTGAGCTCGTGTTGTCACCACATGTCGTTTAATTATGTAAGTATAAGTTATTTGACAATTCTTAGAATAAAGAGTCAGTTATATTTTACCCATCCCGCGTATCGCTACGTGACTTCGTGTATTTAGTATGGGACTGAGACTGATTGTATTAGATCCTTACTGAGTTTCATGGAAATGTATGAAATCCCTTGCATCGAAATAACGATGTTTTAGGGGTTGTTATTGCATTTTGTGTTACTGACTTCTGACGAATGGCTCTCCGATGTCTCGGGATCGGTTGCCTGTCGGGTTAGTGTAGGAAATTAACTTTTCTATATTGTCTCAGGTCTGGATGTTATGTATTATGGCAATTTGAAAGAAAGTACTGATAGTTACTTAAATTGGGTTATGAGCAAATACCTATGTGATTTTGTCTAATATTTACAATTTTTTTTCAATGTTAACTAGCTTTCCGCTTGCGGCTTCGCCTACATGGAATTTGGTTACTATCATTCCTAACGATACTATGGTTTTTCTTAAGGTCCAATCTATCTGCGTATCAAATTGTATTTCTACGTAAAAAATTATACAAATTTTAGGGGGAAAACAGACACACAGAGCAACTTTCGCATATAATATTTGTATGGAATATGGATTGAGTACATAACAATTTGAAATACTAATGATAACACATCGATATCACGACACTCAAATTAACATCACTGACACTCATCAATATCACTGACACTTATATCGATGTCACGACACTTAACACCATGTCAGGACACTCACGTTAAGTCACTCACACTCACATCAATGTCATGACACTGACATCGATATCACGACACTGACACATGCACCAACACTCAAATCGGTGTTAAGACTCACAATGAGATAACATCAATATACAACGTGTCATGTCACTCCACTCCGTATCACGATACTCATATTGACGTCGAGACATCGAGTCGTGACACTCATGTGATGCCATTTTGGAGTGTCATGACATTGATGTGACTCTCAGTGATTCAACGTCGCATAGTGAAAGTGGCGTAACTATACCGTTTGAGGGCCGTGGCAAATTCATCGGATATTCAAGTTTTTTTACTAATTGCGTAATAATAAATGTTAGCAGAAAGGAGTCTCCTCTGACCGGGGGCCCCTTCTAGCTAGGGCCCGTGGCATTTTGCCGACTTACCACCTTATAGTTACGCCACTGAACGTGAGTATAGTAACACCAAGTTGAGTGACGTGACCTCAATGTGAGTGTCGAGACACTGAGTTAAACTCTGTGACATCAACATGACGTCATTGTGAGAATCGCGACACCGATGTGTCATCAATTTTAATGTCGTGACATTGACATCGTGACAATGTAGTGACATTGTCGTTGACTGTCGTGTCACTGACGTGAAGTCTAAGTGAGTGTCATGACGCCCAAGTTACTTCAATGTCAGTGTCATGACACCTGTTAGAGTGTCGTGACACCGATTTGACGTCAAAGTTAGTATTGTGACACTGATGTGACGTCAATGTGAGAGAGGTGATGCCGACGTGACATCGATAAGATGTCTTTGTGAGTGTCGCGACATCTAGTCGAATTTCATGACACGTGACGTCAATATAAGTGTCATGAAATCGATGTGACGTCGACATTATGTCAATGTTAGTATTGTGACATTAAGGTGAATGTCGTTACACAGATTTAGTGTCGTGACATTGCTGTAACGTCAAGGTATCGGGTATTATGTCGTGAGACCTACGTTTTGTTATAATGATTATGTCGTGACATTGAGATAGACGAATGTGACGTCAAATTCAGTGTCGTGACACCGATGGAGAGTAATTGTGAGTGTCGTGCCACTGACATCTCGTCAACGTGAGTGTCGTGACAACGACGTGTCATTATCTTCTAGAGTCGCGACACTGATGCGACGTGAATATGACACCGATTTGATTGTCGTGACGCCGATTTGTGGTCTACGCAGGTGTCGTCAATATTAGTTTCGTGACATTTACTTTAATGTCGAGTCACCAATGTGACCTCAATGTGAGTGTCGTGGCGCCGAGTTGTGTGTCGTGACACCGAGTTTGGAGCCGTGACACTAACGTGAAATCGCGACATACAACTCTGTGTCATCGTCACACAACTCTGTGACAACGTTTGTGTCATGACGCTCAACTCGATGTCGCGACACTCATAATGACATCTCATCGATGTCACGACACTCGCATGGACTAGAATTAAACAAAATAAATTAATAATCCAAAATCTACTTTATTTTGGTTTTTTGCCTAGGGCGCCAAATTTCATTAAGCCAGCGCTCTGGGTGATGTTTGAAATGACGAAATTTTGTCTTAACCCTTCCCACTATTAAAAAAAAAAATTGTTGTATAGATTGGATATAGGTAATTTTAATTGCAAATAAATAAAGCAACGATATTATTTAAAACAATTTTATTCACATTATAAAAGTACATTAAATACCAGATTATGTTAAAGTCATTCTATCAGCGCATTTACTTTTAAAACTAATAATATACGAAAAGGAAACAAGTGTGTATTACTAATTTTATATTATGAACTTTAAATGAATATTTATTAGCAACATGGCATATAGTCTATTTTAATAAAATAAAGAAGAAAAATAGCTCCATATCAAATTCATACATATTTTGGCCCCAAAATCAGTCGTACATAAGTAAAATGCTTTTTTAATCCTAACTAAATCTCATTTTACATCGTCTTCGTGGACCTTAAAACTAGTAGGTTTCTTCAGTCTCGACCTAGTCGGTTTAACTTCTTTAATTAATTTACCAGGACTGGTGGCCCTTTTCAGAGTTTTCTTATCAACTTTCGACCTTGCAGCCCTACCCGAAGGTTTAGGCACATCTAAAAACTTATCAACAGTATTTAGGGCCGAATTTTCTTTGTCAGCTTTCGGCGTAGAGAATTCCGCTTCCAAATTTTTCACTATCGTACTTCTTAGAGATTTCTTCGAGTATGTTTTCACTGACGTCATCGGCGTGAAGAAACTTTCACTGGGAGTCGAATTGGGCGTGAAGAACTCAGTTTGTTCCACCGTGGGTGTCATTTTAACGTCATCACTTGGTTTAGTAACTAGTATATCCGGTTTTCTCCTAGGCCTAGGCGTGATATTTTCTAAAACCGGCTTCATAGTGACCGGTACCGGTATTTTGAATTCCGACCGTTTCCTCACCGGTTTTTTCGGCTCCTTCTCATCGTTCACCTCGTCGAAATTAAGCTTGATCACTTTACGCTTGACCGACGGTAACTCTTCGTCTTTGACTATGTTTTTAACTATTTTAGGCGGGCAATTGGCTTTATTTATCGGCGTTTTCGGCGGTTCACCGCGCGGCGACAGCTTCAGACTGTCCATTTCCACTTCCAAACCGGTTTCGAACGGTTTCACAGCGGCTTTCCGCAGCTGCGCCGAAGCAATCATCAAATTCAATACTTCATTGCGTAAATAATCATCGGCCGTGGTCATATCCTGTAGAATTTCGTGCAATCTAACTATACAATCGTCCGCTTTTCCATGGTCTCCCTGGGATAACTCAAAAAACGCCATTTCAATGAAAATTTCAACTTGAACTCTTTTAAATTCATTATAGACTTCCCTTTCGACCATATCAACTATGTAACCGGGAGAATCGTCCCTACATCTCTTGAAATAAGACTTCAATTTATTTTCAGCGTAGACGAAGCTCTCTGTGGTGCCTTCAAAGTAGTTCCTCGCTATCTCCATCTCTTTCGCTCTGTAGTACATCGACGATTCTAATCCGAACGTTGTGCAAGCTATTACGAAAGTTTTTGGATCATCACAAAAGTTACACGTACATTCTTTGTGTTTAAAAAAGTCCGGTAGTTTATAAGCGTACACTGTCGTACAAGGCAGGGACGGACTTATCTGAGTCTTCTTGAACACGTGGTCTTCCAACATGGTCTCTATGTTTTCGTGTCTGGGCGTAAAGAATTCCGGTTTGCTTGGTTCCGTTTTGTACAGCTGAGGCTCGTTCGACGGATGGAGACCTAGTATGTGTTTAAGCCGATTGTCGATTTTTGTCTGAAAATAAAATAAAATTTTGTATCCGTAACGTAATCTGAACATGTTAACGATCGTTAGATAACCAAGTAAGTATATTTGAGTGTGGCCAATAATGCATATAATATTGTGTGGCCAAAGCGGAGTGATGTAATATAGGGTACGTACTGGTCTATCTTCATAGGCAATTAAATAATATAATTATAAAAATATATATTATTTAAAACATATCTAACTAATTAATAAGATGTGTGTGCCCGAGCGTGTGCGTGTATGTGCGTATGTGTATGTGCATATGTGCGTATGTGTATGTGCATATGTGTGTGTGTGTATGTGCATATGTGCGTGCGTGTATGTGCATGTGTGTGTATGTGCATATGTACGTGTGTGTGTGTGCATATGTGTATGTGTGTGTGTGTGTGTGTGTGTAAGCGTTTGGATTAGGTTAGGTGTGGTTAAGCTATTAGTGCGTGTATAGACTGACCTGCGCGTCAGGCGCGTCATGCGCGTTGGTGAGCAGCGCGTATATGGCGGCGCGCACATGCGCAGCGGCGGCGCCCCCCCCCGCGGCGGCCCCCCCCGCGGCGCGCGCGCGCCTCCACAGCGCCAGCGCGCGGCACACGCGCACGCAGCGCGCCCCGCACGCGCCGCCACGCACCTTCAGCGCGAGGGCCGCGAGGCGGCGGCACGCCCACTCCCTCTCTGCGACCACGACATATGTGACACTTTGACGTGAACGGCTATTGAAATGTGGCAAAACTAACAGCATCGACCGCTGTCGAATAAAATCAAAATCAATTCAGTCTATACTCCATTCATTATGACATTAGAAAAAAGAAGATCTCAGAAGCGGCAGTGCAAACATTTTATTTCAAGATAAATTTAAAAAATATTTATAATCGTTTTTTGAAATTTTGAACGTTCGGTAGTCTGAAAGAGTTGGGCGATTTTACATTTTCTCGGGGTTGAGATGAGACTAGCATTTTTTTAATTCATCTTTTACTGAGAGCCAACATGAAACTAAAACTATCTATCTGTTGTTTTGATAAATTCTAATTGTAAGTGTATATAATTAGAATATAATTTAGTTACATTTATGCCCAGAAAATAAAGGTAAACAAAATGAAATTTTTATTATTAATTTTATATCATTTCATTTATTCAGATATTAAGACATGTAAAAACTTCCTGAAATGTCAAAGGTAATTGTTTTAGGCCACTCGGGCCTGCACTGGAATCGTCCATATTTAGCAAAACTTAACAGCAAAAAAATAACAACTAAAACAAAACTATAAGAAAACAACAATAAAACAGTGATAATCATCGAAAATGGCAAAACAACAAGAAAGGCAGTAAAATTCACAATGAATAAAAATCCCAGATTACGTATATTGACTATTATGAATAAATCATAATCTGACAAAATTAAATAGCTGTACTGCCGAAACGTTTGAAGGGATTAGGCAACTTTTTTATTTGGTAGAGTTATAGTGACATGAGAATCGTGCCGAAACTATCTAACCCTGTTCTTTAAGATGAACACTTTTTATTGTAATAGTTATTAAATGTTTTAAGTCAGTCAAATACTCATAAATTTGTTTAATATATAGCTTAAAAGACTACGGTTAAATATAGCAGCTGGTTTTAAGTGGATATGTAGCAAATTAGCGGTTAGTTAGTCTTAAGAGTAACATGATTGTTGACATTTTGTCACAAAGTATACCATAAAAAGAACCTTATTTTCATTCTGTCTAATGCTATAATGAATGGAGTATAGGCTGTTCCAGAGCACTTGTGAAAATCTAAGTCTACGGCGGGAAACCTTGTGAGAACAACAGGCGAGCAACTTAGCTAGGGCTGCTTTTTTCTTCCTGTTTTATTTCATACAGAGTCGTCAAGATTGAAAAAATGAGTATGATTAAATTTCAAATTTAATTACTTAATTTAAAATGTAACAATGTATGTTACGTTGTCTAATATTTACTCTTTTACTCGTATTATAGTCATTAACATCGAAAATTCAATTAGACAAGGCAATTTGTGAAACAGCAATTAAGGTAATTGTACAAAAAAAATAATTTAAATGATAATAAATAAAAAAAATTAGATGATTTTGAATCATAAAATAACATGACTGTCTTGTTATCTTAAAAATAAAAGTCGAGATGGTTTATGTGTGTCACGTGACTTAAAACACGACCCGCCATTGCGTGACGTCACTTTGGCGACAGCTGTCAGATTAGTCACAAGCGGCGCCTATTTATTATACGTCAAATTACTAGATGGCACTGTTCTTGTTTTATTACAATCTTTTAACACACTATTCTGCGCCACTGTTATGTATGTATACATATCCAAATGACGTCAAGAATATGTCGGACAGCATTTTCGCGGGTATAAGTTTAAATTTTGATTTAAGTTTAAGTCAAGAAAATGTTTTTATTTTTCGGGAATATTTATTTTATGACTTATTTAAATTAAAACAAACAATTACAAGTACTATTTCAAATAAGGTTATTCATATTATTGTAATACACGATTTAATAAAGCATGGCAGAAAAAATTGACTAAACATATATAGTATTGACTGTATCCAACTCACCATTATTAGTAATGGAAAGATAGTGTCTCTGTATACTGCTGGCAACACTCAGGGCGTTGACCCCGCCGCACAGCTGCGCTTGAGCCTCCGCTAATCTGCCTATAGCTAGATCCACTACACGGATACATCAAATATAAAGTAGTATTATAAATAGGAAAGATTCAATTAATTTTTTCGTTTGTAATGGATAACTCAAAAACTACTGAATTGATTTTTTACGCCAATATTTATTAAGTAGCATTCAGAAAATTTTGTTTTGCCATTACAATTTGGCATGAACCACCCTCATCACCAGTGGTCGGAATTAGGTAGAGTCATTCATGTACTTACACTGATTTCATACAGCGTAAGAAAAAAGTGGATATGCCTCAAATCCCGAGATTAATTTTAAAGAGCAGAAAAAATCCCGTGATTTTTTAAATATAAAGTTATTTACTTTTACACAATTTAAACTACTGCACGCATCACGTTGCCAAACTTACATCAATGAAAGAAAGAAATAAAGAAATCCCGGGAACATTTACATTAATATCAACATTTCGATGCGAGTACATAAATAACTCTACCTAATTCCGACCTCTGCTCATCACTTAGGGGTATAAAAAATAAATAGCAACATATTTTTAGACCTATTGAACTTCATCAAGTATCACAAGAATTTTATTAATTAGCTTGGATGATAGACCAAGATATCGCTAGATACAAATTATATAATACTTACAATTAACGTTAGGGTCTGACTCATGTGCTTCCAATATCTTCGCTTGAGCCATTTGCACCAATCTCGCTGACACACCATTTGAGCCACATTTGCTCAAATATATCTATATAAACAAAATCATACAACATCAAATGTTCAGACAGACTCAAAGTGTAACTCGTATGAATTAACAGGGTAACCGGGAGCCCACTTAATATGTGCTCGAACAAAAATCTGAAAATTTCCTATCGTTATCTGTGGAGATTATTTTGTGCATTAGAGACAATGTCAGGTTGTGTCAGGTTAAATTCACGAAAAATATATTTCTCTGGTGACATATTAGCATTTAGAGCCAAAAACAACATTTTTACGAATATTATTTACAAGTTTTGTGTAATAGAAATCCCACAAAAACATTTTAAACTCTAATCCAAAGCATTAAGGTTCAAAATCAGAAATTTATTTAGTAAGTGAGAAATTTGGTATTTTTTTTTAAATAATCAGCAAGTTTAGCTCGGTTGGGACTCGAGTCAGTAACTTATGAGGCGGTACGTCCACGCGATGTCGTTTCTTTCACTCGGATTGGATTTTGCAAGATACGGGCCAGTGGTAACAGTATTTTAATGCAAGAATTAATACATTTAGTTTTATGATTTTGCAAAATACTAAAATTTACTCAAGTTTACATGCAAATTGGCGGCTTAAATCATTTCCTATTAAGCACGAGTAGGCAGTGGCGTAACTACAGGGTGGTAATTCTGCAAAATGCCACGGGCCCCCAGCCGGAAGGGGCCCCCAGTCAGACATTTATTATAACGCAATTTGTAAAAAAAAAAGAATATCCGATGAATTTGCCACGGGCTTCAAACGGTATAGTTACGCCACTATAAGTATTTTTAAATCACGTTACATCAGACACCAAACAGAGTGTATAACGTCACTTGTTGACACGAGTAGACAGTTCTATTGTTATTACGTTAATTTATAAATAACATTGTTTTCTATAAAATTCTATTTGTATTTAACAATGTAATCAGATTTTCTTTTCTTTATTGTTTTATCTATTACCTCAAAATTTAAAATTGTCATATTTTTATTATAGTTTCTTTACGTGTAAAGACCACAAACGTGGCATTGGCGGAATTGGGTAAACGCAAATAGGCCATGAATTAAAAAAGAAGAAGATCTCTTCTTCTTTCGAAGTCTCGAGTTTGTCGTAACTTACGTATATAGACCACCAACAAGATATAATAACTCTACATTTTAGTTAAAATACTAAGCAAAATATAAAATTCAGTTGTAGACAGCTAATATGCTAGTAAAAAATAAGAAGAGATAACAAATAAAATATATACTTAAATAAATTTCCTACTTACGGCCGCGTCACACATGAAGCATACAGCGCACTGGAGGGGGACGTCACGCCAGAGGGCGGTGCAGTCGGCTATAAGTCGCATCATTTCCGGACTAGACAAACTAGCATGAGATAGCAGTACGCTCGCGTTACGTACATACGACTCGCTGAAATCAAATTAAATGTTGTAGTGCGGTCGTCGCACAGACATAATTTCGTAGAATTATATTTTTAATTGTACGAGGGCGGGTTATTTTAGTATATTTTTAATTGTACGAGGGCGGGTTATTTTAGTATATTTTTAATTGTACGAGGGGGGGATGATAAATAGCTAGCCCAACCCATATTTTGTATAATAACGATATAAAATCTCCTTGGTATTTTACTCATTGGTTCATTAGCTGTCAGTTTTCCAAATTTCAAATCGATCGTATAGTTTTTCTTTTAAATATTTACATTTCAAAAAGCATTCTTTTGTTTTTTCTGCAAAATGGATAAAATTGAGCTACGAGCTGTGATAAAGTTTTTGCATTTAAAAGGGTTAAAATGTGGAGAGATTTTTTAAGAGATGAAGGATGTTTTGGGAGAAAATGCTCCTTCATATGCGACCATAAAAAATTGGGTGGCTGAATTTAAACGTGGACGTACCAGCACCCAAGTTGTACATCGTCCAGGACGTCCAAAAAGTGCCACTACTTCAGGAATTGTGATCAAAATTCATGATGCAGTTTTAGCTGACCGAAGATTGAAACTCCGAGATAGCTGATACTGTAGGCATCTCTAAAAACAGGCGCTCCATTTGGTGACTGGACTTTTGCGACAAACATCATCATCAGCCCTTTTTATTCTCCACTGTAGTGGCTCAGGCCTTCCTTATGGATGCTTTAAGGAGAAGCCATGACCCTCCACGCTGGCCTGATGCGGATTGGAGGGTATTAACGACTGTAAATGCAGCCGGGACCAACTGCTTAACGTACCTTCCGGAGCACGGAGTAGCTCGAGATAATAATTTTTTAGGTCACCCATCCCGTGACCGACCCTTGCGAAAGTTGCTTAACGATAACGATCGGGGCCGTGACGCTTATCCTCTACGCCACCGAGCTACACGCGATAAACATATCAATAATTTATTAAGTAACACTATCAAGTGATCCACCAATATTCGCGCACCTAACCGCCGCAGAGTACGAGTGAGATGGACATCCATTGTATTGTATTTTACACCTTATCGTTATTAAACAAGACTTATTTTTAATTCTACATTCGGTCATCATTGGAATTGGTTGGCCTGCCACATCAATTAAAACTTACTGCCTTAGATTATTTCTGTACCTGTATCCAATATATGTAGTTCTACATTCTACTGTTATTTTAATCCATTTGGACAAATGGAGTTAACAACACCTTCACATTTATTTATTCATTATCATACCAGTTTACAGAGAATCTCCAAAGCACAGGCAAGTCATACACAATATGATATAAAGCAAAAAAAAAACAAATGCAGAAGCCTTAGAATAAAAAGTACTATAGCTAACTTTTCTAAGAGGATATTGTTGCCAACAAAGTCAAATGCTTTACTGAAATCAAAACTTATATTAATTTCCATGGTATGAATATAATACTGACCTATCGCCGATATATTTGGCTATGAGGCAGCAAACGTGAGCCAGGTGTAGAGCTGGCACGTCGCGAGAGAAATGCAGCAGCTGATACACGAACACCTGGTACACCTGAAGAGCTGAATGCAGCCACTTAGCTCTGCCCACTAGCGAAATAAAATCGTTCAAGAAATTTCTTAATAATTGGCTGCTCAACATTTAATTTGGAAATAGTAACTATGTAGTGTTTTTGTTTGAATATAAAATATAATAGTATACATTATTTTTGCCAAATTACCTTTCGATTTTATAATCTGTGGACTACAGAAATGAAATGTGGGCGCCCATGAAAATCGAATGATTTTAATAAACTTAAACGTTAACGTTTTCGTTGCGGGAGCAACCAGTAGTCATGTTTATTGAAATGTGACGTCATGGCTCGGAATGTCACGTGACTATTTTTTTCTCAAGACAATTTAAATTAATTAATAAAAATATGTTATTACTCAAATTAATAACACTTTTTGGAGAAACATAAATCTCTTATATAATTTTTAAAATATTATATATTACTAGCTGACCCGACAGACTTCGTCCTGTCAAAAAGATTTGTAATGTGGCAGTTTTTTTGCCTACGTATTTAAAAAAATTCTCCTGAACAGAACCGTCACCCTGGTGATAGGGCGTTGTGAATAAAAAATAATTAAATAAAACATATATAAGGATTTAAAAGTAAGTAATCGCTTTATTGTTAATCATGTGAATCATAATTATTATTGCAATGTATTAATAGTAATAGTATTAAATATAGAAAAAAGAGATTTTTATGATCATAAAAACACATTACACACAACAGCATTATAAAAGTAAACTATTCGAATTAAAAAAATATATAAACATTCTCAAGGAAAAATGCTGGAAGAATCCATCTACCTGTACCCCGGAATGGGACTCGAACCCATTCGCGATCCAGGGACTGCTCTAACCAATGAGCTATCTAGGACCCAACAGCTTTGCTACTACAGAGCGTATTTTCATCAATGTTCCGGCAATACATGTAATGACGTGGAAACTGATGCATTTTATCTCGCGTGCCGAAACTAATATACAAAAGAAACGCGAGTTTCGGAACGCGACATTAAACTCCTCCAACTATGTATTCTGCGCTCCAACGCACACACGCACATTGTTTTGATAGATATGATCTTTGACGTTAGGAACACACCTACATTGCTTAGACAACAGTGAGTGCTTGTAATTTAATATGAACTTTATACCATAGCAATAAAGCTCAAATTGACTACGTTTTAGTTACAAATCATTTGTATGGGAAAAAGAAAAGGGCTATTTTTAGGGTTTTTCCAGCAATAATTCTAGCAATTTCCAGCAATTTTTCTCGCCGTAAAAACCATCCTTGAACTTCAACGAACATTTAAAAAAAAGATTTGGCCAAATTGGTCGAGGCGTTGTTGAGTTATGCGCTTACCAACACATTTTGCGATTCATTTTTATATATATAGATTATATTCGACCAATTTTGCGTTCGAAATGTCATACTGGTAAATATTCTTAATAAATAATGTTTAAAAAATCCACCAAACCCAGGTACCCAAAGGTCCGACAGAGCGCGACTCCTCTCTCTCCTCCATGAGAGGAATCCCAGTGTGGATTGAGACCGGGCCCTCCTTGCAGGATACTGGACTCATCCATCCGCGTGAGGTGAACCGCAGCGGGTTTTATCAGGTAGGCCAACACTAACTCGCCCTTCTCAGGGCGGGGTGGATGGAGAGCCCTGATATGAGGCCTAAGTGCATTTCCCCTGCGTTATATAAAAACGAGTACCCCGAGGTGGGACTCGAATCCATGAACTATATCAGTGTACCTGGGGTTGGTGATTTTTTCAAGCATTTTTCATTAATAGTTTTAACATACTGTTCTCCAAACAATTAAGTAGCCAATTGTATTGTTATCAACTCCCTTCTTATGAAAGGAATAGTGGGTGTTTATGACTGAAAATGCAGCCAGTACATATATGCCTGAGTGCCTCCCATAGCATAGAGGAGCTTAGCATAGTAAACACCCACCAATTTGACAACTGGGCTACTTACGTATATTTGAAATGTAATGTACCTGTATCAATATCTTTGACAGCGTGACTCAATAAGTGTACAGCTTCTATAGCTTTTTTACTTGCTTCATGCTCTTGAGGTATTGTGCTGCCGGCTTGCATCTGATCGGGGTCCATACTCTGAAGAAAATGTACCAATGACATAACATTTTATTTTAATATACATTTACTAGTAGCTCACATATTGGTTCACAAAGAATAATTAATTGTGGTGTTCCAGATAGGACCATTTTATGAAATAATCTTTTATCTTATTGTGGCTGAGCAGTAGAGGGTAGTTTTGTTTAAGATTTCCATTGTAAAAAGGGATTAGAACTTGGGATCAGAGCAATATATAAAATAAGTTTGGCGGCAGGACTGATTATTACATTAAAAAGATTGCACTCACCGGTTCTGTAGTCTTCCATCCATATTTTTGTCTGGCTTCCGCTAAATCATATTCACAACCCAGGAACAAAATGGCTGCATGCACAAACTCTAACTCTGTGCTCTTAGTCTGTTCACTGTCAAGAGCATCTAGCAGTTCTTTCACTACTTCCGAATAATGTTCACAATGTATAGTCCTCACAATGGTCACCGTTTGTAAAATTATTTCAAACAAAGTCCACTTTATGTCTTCATTATCGTTGACCACCCATTGATGATCATTCTTCATCAAATCGTATAAAGATTTCCAAACACCACCTATTGGTACGATGGATGGCCACAATTTTGCGTACATACTAAATTCATGTTTCAATACTTCACCAATTTTAACGTTTATAAAGAAAGGTTTCATGTTTCCATAGAGCTTTTCTTCGAGACTCTTCTTGCATATGTCAAATATTGATAGTGATTGTATATCTTCTCCGTCATTATCTTTCAAAGCCTTTGCTTTAACATCCATCACTAAACTCATACATTTTTCAGAACTCAGTCCTTCCGGCAGTGCAAATATCAAGCTCAAATAAGCATCTTGCAAAGCACCACAGTATAATTTGCAATCCATCTCACAAATACTTTTATTATACAAAGCTCTACTAATATTTTTTAATTCATTCACATCTTTGAATGAACGCATTTCAAATTCTACATATATATTGAACAATTTTATTGAGTATTCATGGTGATTAGCTTTGTTGAGTGCGATCGCTGTGTTATGAATGTCAGTTTGAAGTTTCCTAAAACATTTATCATGGTTGGCACATCCCAACCGTTTTAGTTCGTACAATATTTTATGTTGAACATTAACCAGTTTGTAATATATTGGCAATACATTTGTTATATCCAAATTTTGGCTTATTGACGCGACAGGGAAGTGTTTTATTAATAACAGGAGCCTCAAAGAATCATGTAAACCACTCTTCACATGACAATTGTCACATTTTAACATCTGTTCACTTTTCCGACTACTTAAATACAACATAAAATTTAAGCAACTCAGCTGTATTTTCTCATTGAAATATAAATTCCAGTCTAAATTTTTATTGGACACCATAAATTCAATGTAAAGTCTTAAGAACTGATTGAGGAATGAATATGTGGCATACATAGTTTTTTTATATCCAAGTTTTTCAATATTCAAACAAGATGTGAGCATATTGTTTAAAATATTCTCTGTGTTTGTTGTATTTGCAAAATTTTCAAATACACTACAGAATCCATTCAGATAAAATGTCTCTAAACATCTCATAACCTCAGTGTTGTGTCCCAGTAAAGTTACGGCTGCCCGTACCACAACATTAAGTACACAATTTTCGAATTTTGTTCTAGAAGAGTTTTCAGCTATTACATAAAAACAGTCATTGAATTTCATATAGACTTCTAGAAGTTCCTTTTCATTTAAGTTTTTGAATGATGCCAAATCTGTTTTAGCTGATAAAGCTTTAAAAATGTCACCAAAAGACAGTTGCAGCTCTTTGGCATTTGTATCACTGTAGAGAAAGTGGAGTTTTTTCACTAGAAATGTTATTATGTTTGTACAAAATTGCACAGAGTCATATATGTGCACAACTTTAATAATGTCCTCTATTGTCTTTGGTAGCAATTTCGATATTGAGTTCTTCATTTTCAGCTTCTCGATGTAAGCCATACGGTCAACCAGAATGTTCCAGTATGTTTTGCAATACTCAGTTAACAAGCATTTTAAGTCCCACTCGAAAGCCATGAATGACAATTTCAGCACTAGCTCAGGAGGTGTCAAAGAGATCTGAAATATAAAACTCGTTTGAGTACAATAAGTTACGACCAATTTATAGAAAGCATTTATTTTGTCAATAGCACAGTTTATTCATCAATCACATGTTGCACTTTTAATCTGACTTAGCAATGTAGTCAGTCTAAGAATCATTATTTCCAACACAAGTGGTGCCCTCTTATAAGTGAAAATTTTTAACTTTGGTGTACTGTTTGTTCTGAATGTCTAAGTAATTCTGACCAACCTTAGCCCCTACAGATTTTATAAATGTGAACCTACCTGCAACCTGTCCAGTTGAAGCATTAAAAACTGATAATGACAACTATGTACTGAATACAATCATATTTACCTGTTGCAGTTTCACTATGTGCTTATGTATGTGGTAGATACAAGCAAGCACCTTAATTTGTTCAGCTCGAGGCAAACCTCTGGTTTCATGGACACATTCTATGCTCAATGTTACAAGCATTTTTACATCGACTTTGTCCTTCCATGACGGCACTTTATCGAGATTCCTAGAAAGCAATGAGTGTAAAACTTTAAAAGCAGGAATGTTTTCATATTGATAAGCATATGCAAAGAAAAACATAAAAACTTTCATTACACAAATCAACGCACAATAAATAACGAGTAGAAATCTATCATAAAATATTCCATTTCATAGGTACTTGCCTGCATATTATACAAAGAATATTTAAAGCAAAAGCCTCTTTAGCTTTGATTGATAATTTGGTCAATATAACTTTGTAATCTTCATACACTTGATGCAAATCACATAAATCTTTTTCGTTGCCGTTTGCTTTGAAACGTGTTACGAAATCATTCGCTTCCATTTTAAATTTTAGTGCCTTTTCATCATAATTAACATTTGAAAAAACATATTTTGAAACTGTAGGACCAAAAGAAACCGTTATAAAATCAAGCACTGACAGACACTCGTAGAGTATACTATTCATTTTTTTTTTTCAGTATGGACTGTATACTATTCTGTGGACAGACATGTCATTCATGTCAAATTGACTTCGTTCACGTATATGATGTATGGTTCACATTCATTCACAAGACGCCAAGGCTTTCATTACCCACATACAAAAAGCAGAGTTTATATAACACTAAAATATAATGGTGAAATTCACAAGGGCTACAATAATTAAACAGAAGAAAAAGATATGTAACCACCAACCAATGTCAGAATGTACTATTTTAGTCAAAGGGAACAACAAGAAATCTTTCACAGTTTTTTGTGTTTCAATATACTACTCAACAATTTATGTAGCTTATATTGAAATTCATCATATTCATCTGAGACCAAGAATTTTAAATTTAAAACTCCTTATCTGAGACCTACACGACGACAATTTGACATTTAAATATTAACTTTAACAATAGACAAAATATTATGTGTTTTGTATCGAGAATTTTTTAAGTTAGAATGTTATTATTGTAAGATGATCTTACACGCGGATGAAATCGCGGGCAAAAGTTAGTATCCCTATAATACTATCAAAACGACAAACTTTTGGTCCAGAGAGAACGGTAATAGGTAGACTGGTTTGGTCTCCTTGGAGTAAAAGTGTTCTGTGCGTTCGGTTATTACAATGACTGCCTACCTTGATTAATAAATCTGAAAAGTTTTTAAAATTGACGAATGCAATATACTGCTTTATAGCAGTATATAGGAAGCTTCCTTTATAGGAAGGCTTACTTCTTAAGCACTGAATCGTAGTTTTACTGTAATATATGACACAGTATCGTGTGAGATTTTATGAGAAAATTTTGCACTTATTCTGTTTGTCGAGTACGAGCTTGCCCCCTAGGTATGCTTTTTAATAATTAGCCTATAAACATTCCATTACGTGGCATATTTTACATGGTTCATTATACAAATGAAATCGACAAAGTTATTAGAGTAATGTGATTCTGTATTCCTAATAGAGATCCCGTTGCGTTTAGTTTCTTCTTATTTGTATTGTGTTGTTGTCTGTCAAATTTACCGCCATTTCTCGTTCGTTGTATGTTAGCCGGTAAAAATGCGACGATTTTATTTTGATTTTGATCTGCACGTTTCCAAATAAATTAGAATAGAATTTACGCAGTTGTAATTTTATTATCGAGACCGACTGATAGATAATTAACGTGAAGCACTTTATTATACCAATGAATTATTGATTTTTTGGTGAGTAAATTTTGAATGCTTGTTTTGATAATAAAGTTATCACATTAATAGTTATCATATGTTATGTTGAAGTACCTATTACTTAGTGTCGATTTCTTTTATTTGCAGGACAAACAAGATTACGAAATGAAGCCAGGTACCAAATATTACCTTGCATTGTTCCTAACGGTGACCACCTATTTTGGAGCTTCCAAGATCTTGTTCGATAAAGTTAATGAAACTATACATGTAGTGATAGATGAATTATTCCATATACCACAAGGTTTAGCATTTTGTCAGTACAATTTCACATACTGGGATCCTAAAATAACAACATTACCTGGACTTTACTTTGTGTCAGCAGCATTTTTAGGCAGTTATTTCCCCTGCAACACCTACAATTTACGTTTCATAAACTTAGCAGCATCATGTGTGAACCTTATTCTGTTTGCATCCATACTGAAATTTGTGTATGGAGCAAATGATTATATCAAAACTGTAATTCAAGCTTTAAATTTAGCATTGTTACCACCTTTGTATTTTTTCTCGCATGTCTATTACACTGATACACTGTCGTTAACTTTTCTGTTGATATTCTCTAGGTTATGTTTCACAAATAGACATAAATTGTTGATATTTATTTTTGGGTTGTGCAGCGTTTTCATGCGTCAAACAAATATAATTTGGATAGCAATGGTGTTTGGTCATAAGGCACTTGATATTTTTATACGTAGTTCTAGAGTATTCGGTAATCAAAGTTTGACTAGAGTTAAACTAAGCAAGGCTTCTCTAATAGCTCGTGATGTTGATTCATCAAAGCTTAAAAGATATTATGGACTTGATGATTTCCTTGTAGCGTTCAAATATCATGTTTCTACATGCATGGTTACGTTTTTCAAGTTTCTTTCTCTGCAAGATGTGATGATACTGTTCACTCATAGTCTTATATTGATGTTATTTATAGCATTTATATATTACAATGGTTCCATAGTTGTTGGTGATAAGGATGCTCACAAAGCCGTATTACACATTCCTCAAGTATTATATTTTTTGCTTTTTTATGGAGTTTTTGGATTACCATATGTTTTAAATAAGTCTTTGTCTACACTTAAACTAATTGCTACAAACAAAATCAAAGTTATTTTATTTGGTTTGTTGTTAGCAGTGATTGTTCATTATAATACTGTAATACATCCATATTTATTGGCTGATAACCGACATTATACATTTTATGTATGGAACAGATGGTTTGGTAAATATGATTTTGCTATTTATGCTACAATACCTGTATATATATTTTTACTATTCAATTTGTATGATAATTTATGTAATCAGAATTGTATATCTTTTCTATTACCATATTCAGTTTGTATGTTTGTAGTTTTAGCATTACAGAAAATGATTGAAGTGAGATATTTCTTAGTTCCATACATTATTTTGAGGCTCAGATTTGTAAAGGCATCAAACTTGATTATAACCTTTGAGTTCTTGTGGTATTTGAGTATTAATTTTGTCACATTTTATTTGTTTTTCAATAAAGAGATATATTGGAAAGATTTCGATTATGCTCAAAGATTGATCTGGTAACCAAAAATATGTAAAATAGACACAAAATAAAATATTAGTAAGATAGTAATTGTATTGTAGGATTGATATATATATATATATATATATTTTTATAATTGAGCAATTGAATTGTAATTTTCGAATTTTTTATTTAATGAAGTTTATCCATCTTTCCCTTTATGGGAAGACTACCTACGACCCTGTAGTTGGTTGTATAATGATGATGTATAATTTTGTATTAATGAATGTGAACATGCTTTTACTTTGACCGCAGTTGGGATGGAGTTTTAATGATTATGCATATTAGAATGTCGACTACATTAGAATTTTCTACTTGGCTCACAAAAAGTTTGTCAACCAAAGGCCAACCAAACTGACTAATGGCTCATTTACATTAGTCTGTAGTATCTGCTTGCGGAGTGCGAGCGATTTCTGTGAGCTCATTTCGTTGGTTGATAAGTCAATGCTAGCCAATGACTAATGAAAATGAGGCAAAGGAGTTGCCTGTACTCTGCTTTCGGTTTGGTAGGGCATCATCGACCTTTGTAAATAAACTATAATGCGGGCCACATACGCTCTAAGAAGGATTGTGTTACTCTTAAGTGAAATGAATAAATGTAGGTATTTTTCAGCAAATGTTGAATTGCACCATAATTTGAACAAGATTTTATATTTAGTTGCTGAAAACTTGTTAAGTCTTTTTATTATTGTAGAAGTAATTACTTACCAGTCATTCAGCAGCCAATTTGTCAGTGTCATGACGTCTTTAGTCTTAGTTATTGCATTAATTTACAGTATGCAGTGCCGGATTAAGGCAGATCGGGGCCTGTGACAAATTTCTCGCATTTTTTAACACTGACTTGAAAAATTATTTATTTTTAATCAAAAATGCTCGCCACTACAGAGCGTATTTTCATAATATTCAGGCAATCCATCCTAACAGCCAAATATTTTATATATTTTAAGCTTTCGATAAAGCCGAAAATCTGTTTTAATTCTTATATTTGATTAATTTCGCGTTCACAATGCTATACGGGAAAATATTCTTAATGAAAAATGATTCAAAAATCCACTTTTTCCATTTTTCATTAAGAATATTTTCTAGTTGATTGATAAAATATAGTAAATTATTTAACCACAGCGAGCCCTCCAATTGCGCGGGGCCCTTAGCACTGGCTAATCCGGCACTGACAGCATGCGAATCACTCATTAGGATAAGCACGGAACATTGAATTTTCTAATGTCAGCGGAAAAACAACTCGATTACTAAGTGCTTAAAGTGCACATTAAGTCTTCGTTAGTTCAAACTTATTACATAATACGAGCAAATTTTTCATGTATTGTATATATTCTGGTGTAAATGAGCACTCTATTAATATGACACCTGAAGTCCTATTCTATTTCTCCGAAAATGATATTTTGTCTATTTTTGATATGCCAATAACGCTCGAAAGAAACGCATTTTGCGAACATTTACGTTGTAACGGAGGTAGGACCTGATCCTGCCTCTTCACGAATATGATTTTAACTAAATATTAAGAACTATTATTAATTAATATTAATATTTTTTTCCGAAATTTCGTTCGAGTACAAATAGAATATGCCTTCTGGTGTGATGTTGATATGTACGAAAGTAATAGTAATTAATTTAATCTGAATTAAAGAAATTGAAAGAAATATAAAAAGCCATTATATTGTGCCAATCAAAACTACAAAGTACTTAAACTACATAAATTCCCCAATAATGCATGTAAACTTACTTAAATTTTGTATATAAATTTCTCAATAATTTCAATTAAATACGCATGTGAACATATTCTATTCTATGTATTATAAATTGAATGATTTTTTTTATATATAACTTTTTTTAATTTAACCTGCCTTTAGTCTTTATGTAGAAGAAGAAGGAATTCAGTTTGATTTTTTAGTTGTTTAATGAAGATTTTTCTGCCTTTCTGAACGAAACCTTAAGAACCTCCAAAGAAGAAAAAGAACCTTTACGAACCAGTATAATTCTGTGAGCAACAATTTATTTATTTTTGAATAGCGTTTATTTAAACAACCGTTTATTTATGAATAAAAACTCATTTATCATATGTGTCACAAAAAAAGAAAGTGCGTTATTTAAATTTGCAAAATATTTAATATACCAACTTGTACTTATTAAATACATTTATCACATAAAATCGTACAATTTATCATTGAATGATACACGCATAAAATATATTATCAATATAATAACAATAAATAAATCGACCATCTGATACGATAGGGTTTAATGATTTGACTATACTACAATCCCGGGAAAATTTTCATTGGAATTTATTTTCATATATTTCTGGTTAAACCAGTGACATATTCACGGTCAGTTGCACAAACGTCCATTAAGGTTTAATGACGCCCTTAAGCTCTAACTGAATTACGAATTTGTATCGTCAAACGGTAATGTCGCTTCAAAGTAATGACAAATTTAATGGACGTTTATGCAACACGCTATTAAAGGCGCACTCTAAATATGTCATTATGGTCCTCGAGATGACTATCCTCACCTTCAGGGCCAAAATGACAAATTGAGAGTATTCGTAACTCATACGATAAGACCATAGATGTTGAGCTACATCTGGCAGCACGTTATCACTTGCTACCGCCAATTGCTAGATCAAGAAAGATGGCGGGTATAATACAATGCCGCGAAACTTTAGATGCGATAGGCAAGACGCCATCTTTCTCGCTCTAGCGGTCCCGACAGAAAAGGATCAGCCCTGCGATTCTGTAAAAATCCAAACCCGAATTCGAACTCACTCAGGTGTTTGAATTCACTTCAAAAAGCGGCAACCGCTCAACCTTGAATTGGTTATAACGTTTCGTGGCATAAGTGAAGTGAGTTTCGAAATGACATAGGAATAGAATATCTGAGACATGTATATTCAATCAATTTTGTTTTGTATTTTTATGCAAATAAAGGAATCTATAGAATTTCTACACTAAATGCCATGAATTCGTATACATGAGCGAATTTGAATTCAGGTCTTATTTTTTACAGAATTGCAGAGCAGATGTCGGAATAAGAAAATTATAATATTGGCCAATGAAAATAAACCTTGGCCGTTTCTTAAACACAGGGCGTGGACGCCGCCGTGTAGTATTTTTCAAACGGCACATAAAATTTATTGCGATTATAAACTGGTGAATTTTCGACAGTATACATTTGATTAAATATCTATTACACTTAGTTTTCTGTTACAGGGATTTTTTAAATAGAATTATAAACAACAATACATTTAAATTCATCGATTAGTATAAAAATATTGTGTACCTAAATATACTTTCATTTACATGTTTCATTTATTTATAAATCAACATTATGATTAAGATACAATTTTTACCTTCAATATAATTAAATGTCAATTTAATTAAATATAAAGTGTTTTTCACTAGGTTCAAAAAAACCGTCAAGCTTTTTGACATTAAAAAAATCTTGTGTAAGCGACGCGCGGCCATTTTGCTGAAACGGAATTGTACCTCACTCCATTACAATAAAGAATGACATATTATTTGTGACGTTTGAAAAACTCAACAGCTATAACTTTAAAACTTATATTTAAAAAAAAACTAAGACGCCGGACTGACCTACACACTTTTATAAAATTTATATTCAACATAATTCACAATAAAAGCCGTCCGTATCATTGCTAAAAAAAACTTACGAATACCTAGGTACAGGAATGTCATTATATCATATAAAATTATAACTAACAAGAAAATAACAATAAAATATTATAACGAATAATTTAAATAAAATCTAATACCAAAGTGATTGCCATAAAAAAAAAATCGAACTACAAAAGCGTAGCTTTAAGCGCATCTAATTTAAGTACTTTGTAACTGGATACGATTGAATAACGTAATTACTAACCTCTTAATACATCATATGTATTTAATCGCAATCAAAATCTCAAGCATGTTGCATCATAAGTATTATAGACAGTTCTCCATGCCATTTAACCTGACATTATACTCTTTCGTAAAGTCATCGAGTTACAGTAAAACAACTAATATGACTCGCTGTCCTTGCGTCGAAAGACGAATTCCGTACTGCGTTGTATTTTACACCTTGTTTTTTAAAACAAGGCTGATTATAAATTATGATCACACGTTCGATAAATCATCGATATTAGTGAGTTTGGTCTGCGCAAGCGGTGATTCACGACAGGTAATATTAGTTTCATTTTACGCTACACAGTAATGTATATATCAGCTAAGTAGTCATACGTGGCGCATTATATAACTACGGAAGTCCCGAAAAAATGGCATTAAGGCTAAATCGCTAATATTAGATAGTCAACGATGATAAAATATATTTTGTTTTTATTTGGGGAATATCATCAAGAATCCCATTAATACCCCAGGGTAAAATAATTGTTTATTCATTAGTGAAGTTAAAGTTAATAATTTAATATTTATCAGTAACTAATAACCAGAGGTCGGAATTAGGTAGAGTTATTTATGTACTTGCATCGAAATGTTGATATTAATGTGGACCTTCCCGGGATTTCTTTATTTCTTCTTTCTTTCATTGATGTAAGTTTGGCAACGTCGTGCGTGCAGTAGTTTAAATTGTGTAAAAGTAAATAACTTTTTATTTAAAAAATCACGGGATTTTTTCTGCTCTTTAAAATTAATCTCGGGATTTGAGGCATATCCACTTTATTCTTTCGCTGTATGAAATCAGTGTAAGTACATGAATAACTCTACCTAATTCCGACCACTGCTAATAACTTAAATAATTAACAGTAAAATAATGTGTTATGATAAAATTTTGTTGAAATATAATAATAGTCTCAGCTTGAGATGGCACGACTGTGAGCTCTCCGTGACTAAGCCACGATAATGTGAATAAAAGTATTTTGATTTTCATTCAAATGAACAAGACTCTTCTTTAATTTTGTTAAAATTATGATTATTTTATAAATTCCTGCGACACCAGGGTCGCCACCCTTTGTGAAATAAACTTCGGGACACTCTAATAGTAGTCAGAAGTAATCCGACTTCATTTTAAAGTATATTAAAGGAAAAATAAAAAACATAACTGTTAGGATGCAGATTCTGTCACGACGGGACCTAAAGCGCGTATGGAGCGGTTGTCGAGCGTTATCAAAAATCTGGACAAATAAGAAAACGGGACTAACACTATTGAAATCGGGACTGAAAAATTCGGGCCAGGTGGCAACTCTGTGCGAAACATTAAAACGCCGTGACATCCTGTGGAACGGTACAATTCGCTCATAACGTGTCATAAAATTTAAATATTTAAATAAATTTGGCGGGCTGAGATGTTGTTACTCGTAATTATCTTGCACTGTCCTCTACCCTCACAACACAGGGGCCGTCAATTAATCACGTGAGGCTAGAAAAGGATCGTCAAAAATCACAAGGGGGGAAGGGTACGTAGTAATATATCACGTATATTTATGTTTCCTTAACAGCGCGATTGTTAAACTGAAAAGCGACGTGTAAAGTTAAGATTTTTTTGTTGGTACTAAAAAATTGACGTGATTTGGGTGGAAAGGGGGTAGCCTTAAACCTCACCATGTATCACCAAAGGGAGGGGGGTCAAAAATGTTGAAAAAACATCACGTGATTAATGGGCGGCCCCATATTTGTACATACAGTACCACAATAATAAACTGCACAGTCATAACCGATTCAATATTAACCTTATCTTATTACACGTAAAGTTTAATAGGAAACGAAACCGTGTTATCGTGCCGGTGTATAAATGCAATTAAACGCATTGTCTTATACGCGGATGAAATACTTTCAAAAATGCTTTTCTGTACTGTACAAGTACATTCGACCAATTTCATTTATTGGCCACTATTGAATCATCTATACATAGTATAAAATAAAGAATCATCTATACATAGTATAAAATAAAGAATCATCTCGTTGTATATTTAAAAGCAAACAATCAATTTTAACGCCCTGTATAATACAGGAACACGCGCGCGAACCCGCTAGCGGAAACTTAGTAATAGACCAATCAATTGGTTTATTTATACAGAGAATTTAAAGCTTAAAATAATCTCACAAACTCTGGATTGTATAAAAAAATAATAACCCTTCAATTATGAATAAAAAAATGTTCGATTTTTATATTTAACTCATTATATGATCGGAAAGCACTTATTTTGAGACCCCGTGACGTCACATTATCTATCAATTACACCGACTAGATTCCATAGTGGCCCAGGAGTCAAACTATTTTATTTTTAAGATTTATAGGATTTTAGACCTTAATATACGGGACGTTAAATTCAAAAACGATATTTGTACATTATTGACACCTATTTTTGTGGTACCGTCGTATAAGGAACAAAATAATTACTAATTCAACTTTGAACTAGTATTGGTAACTTAATTTAAAATATCACAATCAAGAACATCACTATGAAGTAAATATTAACACTAAATTTATTCCCAAATATATACTTTGATAATAAATAGGAGAAAAAAAAAACATTTCTCCTGCAACAGCGGATCTAAATATCAATATATAGCTATATTAAATAAATACATTTTAAATGCTAATAATTAGTAAAATAATTATTAAAAAAAAACAATAAAATAAAATATTATTCAGTGTCAGCATAATTATTCTGTCATCTTCAATATTAATGATAATATTTTACTTTTTATTTAACTATCAAAAATGGTAGTAAAATAATACACAATTTAAACAGTAGTTTCCTACTCACATTAAATGGTAACACTGAGTCATAGAGATCACAATAAAGACATTTTGTTTCTTTTATTTTCTAAATCCATTTATCCTCTTTCCTACCGTTCAGCAAAGGGGTAGATTCGACCTCTTTACAATCTTTAATAGGACTTATATCCGGTTTGCCGTTCATATATTTGATTAGATTAGCGTTGGATACTACGTACGGAACCCCAGCGAGATCCGATGACAACGGGTTATAGTATTGCCTGTAGCAGAATATGGCAACACTAAACCCTAAAGTAGATCCAACTAGGATATCTGAAAATTAATATGTAACTTATTTTACTACCAAAAATAAATATCATAAATGACATAAACCTGGCATGTGAAGTTACTCAATAAGTAGTTCTAGAAATTAAACCAGATGTCGCTACATACTATTAACACATTTGTACTGCCTATGACGAACATTTCCATTTTCGTTTTTCATTTTAATAAAAGAAGAAGAAGATTTTCCTCTCCTCACATTTTAAATTGTTAACATTTAAGCGTGTAAAATAAATAAATATTATATTTTATTCCATTTATATCTTAAAAAACTTAAAACTACGTCTCACCTTGCCAGTGGTGATGGTAGTCGCAGCTCCTGGACAGCGCCACGCACGCGGCCGCCACGAGTGGAGCGAGACAGCACACTACGCGCGTCCCGCTCCCCCTCCGGCGCGACAACACGCCCAGCCGCCCGCACAGCCACGCGGACGCCACGCCCAGCGAGCAGAACGACACTACACGCACGAGAGGGACGGAACGATTAACGTGACACACCTTTACGTATAGGTTGTAAGCGGTAACCCTGTCAGCTGATTTATCTATGTAGTTTGTGGTACAGGATATTATTATTATAGTAAAATGTGTAGAACTAATAAATAATTTAAATACTTATTTCTATAATTCTAACCTATTCTAATAACGTGAGAGTGAGTGAGACTTGCGTATCAATATATAAAACCCGACCACGAAGTGTTTCAATTAGCTTGTTCACAACTTCGTTTGCGCGAAATCAGTATTACGGGAAGCCAATTATTTCTCTAATTTTTATTATGGGCTTTTATTAATTTATCATAAAAAAAAAACTATTCCAAGCAGCAGTTTTAATGTGAGAAGTTAATAATTAAAAAACTAATTTCTTAGTACTTAAATAACAATTTTTATAACTTGAGGTGGAATTTTCAAAAATATATTCTCAGTAGATCCCTACATAAAAAAAAAACATATGTACCCTCCGAATTTCAAGTCTACTAGCAGCGGTTTAGGCTGTGTACTCTCTATAAGTTAGTCAGACAGTATGTTAGGATAAAGAGTCTTATGGTACTAGATAGTACTACAGTATTAATCAAAGTATGTCAATTTGTTTAAAATAAAAATTGATTTAACATAACTGGTAGATAATATCTAACTTACAGCTGCTATGACCACTCGGGAAGGACTTCCTGCCCTCCATAATGTCCAAAGGATCTCCTGTACATTGCAAATCTTCTGTCTCCACTCCATCAGGGAAGCAGCGATAGAAGAAATCCGGTCTCGGCCGACCTGGACATAACTAAATATTAATATTATTATATTAATATTTTTATGTAACTGCCCTAATTTTCAGTTGCTTGGGAAATATTGCTCTTTAGCGATAGGGTCGTTGATTGCACTGTTATAACGTACTGTTGACGACAGCCACGTGCCGCGAAAATGAACAGATCGAACGACCAATCACAGCGCCTACATTTGTTGAATTATCGAGGAGCTCATTGGCTGCGTAGGCGCCGTCCGCACGGTGGGAGCGATTCCCCCACCCGGCGATTGGCCGACCGCCGCGCGTCATTAGTAGCTAAGTTAGACATTGTAAATATTGGTAGTCAGTTCGAAGTCAGTCATCAGTAGTCAGTTCTAGTTAAGAAAAGTAGTCAGCAAGTAGTCAGTCATCAGTTGTCAAGCAGTGAACTTGTAAGATACCAGTTAAGAAGAAATAGTTGTAAGAAGAATAAATCGTCTTTAGAAGTCAAACCATCTTTGTTTTGCACCTGAACATCATACGGTCCACAGCCAGCCATCGAAATAAAGCACCATCCCTAACATTTGGTCCTCTGAGAAGCCGGATCATCAACACATACAGTCAATATTTTATTATATAATAACGTTCATTAATTAATAAAAGGCAAGTGGCCTCCTTTTTATGAAAATATGATATTTGGCACAGTTAATAGCTTATATTGAGAGGTGCAGATATATACAAGGCTTAATTGAGTGAAGAAAAATAGTTACAATCATAAAGAATAATACATACCAGATATTAATTTGATCATATCAGTTAAGACGCCATTGATCCCAAGTCCTAAAGACCATGCTAGTAATATCTGTAAAAAAAAAATATATTCAATGAATATAAACTATTCCTCCTTGACCATTTTTTTTTGTTTAATTAGCATAAACTTTATGAAACCTTTTTTAAAACAACTTTTAAAAGGTTTCATCATGTTAATTTTATTAATGTTTTGAACCCTTTACAGGTTCCGTGTTCAAATAAGACTAAGGTGCTGATTGTCTTTTAAATTAAGAATATAGCTACCTTCAAAACAATACTATTGGAAACATTCACAATACAAAAAATATATTTTATGGCAACATTTATATTTATTAAATAAAATTATTTGAATAGCTATAGTAACCTACCACTAGTTCCAAATTTGGAAAAGCTTTTTAGTCTGTAGTTACAATAGACTTGTATGATCAATAGTGTATTTTTTTAATTCCAGAGTTCATAACATTGGGTAAATTGTAAGTTATAAAGGTTATGCATATACATGCACCCTATGACAACCCTATTGTGTATACGTACATACAGTAGGGTTGTCAACCCCCAATTTCAAGTGCTAATATACTCTATGATTTTATAAATAAAAGTAATTCAATTCAGTTGCAGCAAAGTTATAAAGATGAAAAAAATAGGTACCTACTTTGCATTATTTAATAATCTTTTATCCATCCAAAGATCACAATCCCCCTGTACAGTGCAAACACTCATGAGTAAAATACATCTTATCAGGGGATTTTAAAAACCAAGGATGATGCTTAAAAATTATTTGGATATATCCAAGATATTTCCTGAGAAAACAGGATGCTTGGCAACCCTAACGCCCTACCTTTGCTTTACTATTGATAAAAGATTAGATTATGTAGTTAGCTTTACAACAAACCTCAAAAGCATCATTACAATCATTGCATGCAGCCCAAGCAAGCAAAGATAGCATGCATGGAACAGACAGAACTATAGCCCACATAGCCCCACCGGGGACGTAAGACTCCTTCCTGGGATACTTATATTCTGACTCCAGCTCTGGCCGATGGATCACTCTGACAAAAGGCGGCATTGTCTCCATATAACTGTAAAATAAAAATACAATAAAAAAAGTACATAGTCTATTTGTAAGAATTATAAAAATGGTTTTAATGTATCCAAAACTATAAGATCTGTAACTTGACAAAGTATACAATGTATGTAGATCATGTAAATATTAGCTGAAGTAACAGAACAAACATGTTTTATAATGGCAAATGATAACAAATCAAAGATATGGAAATTATATCAGACCAACTTGTTTCAAAATTATATTGAAATATAAACATTTAATGTGAAGAAAAAAATTATTTCATTGGACCCTGATGTCTTTTAATTAAAGGTACATTTTAGTGAATTAGTTATTACTCCATTAATTCCATTTCTATATTCAATCAATTTTGCATTCAGAATATACTGAAAAAAGAAGTGCACAAATTAATAAATGCTACCAAAAAGAAAATAAATGAACATGTTATAACTTACATACTAGTTCATATCATTATAGTAGCTTTCTGCCAGCGGCTTTGTCCGCGTGGTCTTGTATAATACATGAAAACCTTCATTTTGAATCACCCTATCTATGAAAAAACCGCATCAAAATCCGTTGCATAGTTTTAAAGATTTCAGCATACATAGGGTATAGGGACAGAGAAAGCGACTTTGTTTTATACTATGTAGTCATATAAAAGTGAAAGGTTACTCACTCATCACAAAATCTCAAAAACTACAAGTGCTAGAAGTTTCAAATTTTGCATGTGGGTTCTTTTTAGGACGTAAGTACTCACTAAAATGGGATTTTATAAAATTCAACCCCTAAGGGTCAAATTAGGGGATGAAAGTTTGTATGAAACTTCATATACTACAAGTGCTAAGAGTTTCAATTTTCTTAAGTGGGTGCTCATAGAGAAAGGATTTCATGATATTCAACCCCAAAGGGGGTAAATTAGGGGATGAAAGTTTATATGAAACCTTGTTACTGCAAGTTCTAGGAGTTTCAAATTTTGCATGCAGGTACTTTTCAAGACATAGGTGCTCACTAAGACGGGAGTAAACTAGGGGATAAAAGATTTTATGGAATTTTCTCATTTCTGGACTTAAAACTAATGCCACTGGCGGAAGGCTAGTAATAAATATAAGAAAAAGTTACTGCTTACTATAATTTAACAAAAATCAAATTATTCTTAATGAAAAATGCTTAAAAAATCAATTTTGTCACTCTGAGATGGGACAAAGTGAATTTTTTTTAAGCTTTTTGGTAGAATCTTATTGATTTGTGCACTTCTTTTTAAACTTTTAGTTACAACGGTAGGCTGACTAATAAACAAAGATATTATCAGACACCAAGAACTTTCTTTAAATAGTTTAATAAAGTATTTAGATGAAATATTGCATTTATTTTTCTAACAAAACTATTTTATTTATGTAATATCCAAAAATAATTGAATTTCATACAAATGCTTTGTATTGTGGAATCCAGAAACGAAAAGAAACAACAACTTTTGTCATTATTAACCAATAAAGAAAACTTTATTGCCCAATGACTGCCACATAAGCTAAAAATTCATTGTTAGGCACTTAAGATTGATAATGAAAATACAGGTGGTGATTGTAACTTATATACCATATATATATCTATATAAATACTTTCAAGACCTTCGTCATTTATCAATATGCGAAATAACTGGTTTACACATTAGTTTCATTGATAAGATATGTAAATAATTGCAGGTTTGTAATCAAAAACATATGGGTCTAACTTACCAAAATGCCAGCACTAACACGATACGTACTAATATTTCAATAAATAAACTGAAGCTTGCTGAACGTATTAAAGGCATTTTCAAGAAGTAAACACCTACTCCAATGGAAATAATGAAAGTTTTAAGAGTTTTGCAAAATTCGCAACGCGCAGCCAATTTAGACAGATGTAGCAATCGTTCAGAAATCTTTGGTCTCAGTAGAGGTGAGTCGTATTTACCAAAGACTAATATTAATGAAACTTATAAAAAATAATGCCAAGGTGTTGGTTCTTGTTAACATTAAAATATGTACTTGCCACAAAGCTGCAGCGAAATAGTCCCAATACAAGTAGGTATTTTATATTACTTACTGGGACAATTTCAAAATTGTAACTGGTGGAAATAATGTTATTAAAGAACATTTTTTTTATTAGCGAGGAGCCAAACCGAACCAAGCTATTTTTTTTAAATAGTCTTGATCAAAGGGAATTTATACGGTGACTTCGACTTGACTCGGCGCACCTCTAGCCGACCAAATAAGTTATTCCCAAACGTAACATGCGTTTTGTTATTGCCGTATGTACTCATTTTTAATTTAAAACAATGAAAATATAATGTGCTTATATATATTAAATAATAATATTATTATTAAACTGAATGTACTATGTTCATACATTCAAAATAATTCAGTAATTTTTGTTTGCACTGTTACTCTTTTTAAGTTTGCTTTACTTTTGACTTTACACACAGTATTGAGTGAATTAATCATAACAACAAATAATACCTATTCTTTTGAATAAATGTTATTATGAAAATTACAAATAACAATTATGTTATTCAGTTAATAATAATCTCACGACACTCGTTTGGATATGCATGGAGGAGGCTTATGCTTAGTAGTGGACGTCGTACGGTTGCTGTTGATAACGATGATGAATAATTAATTCATTGTTAATTTGCTACAGTCAATTAAATACTAGTTTAAACCACCAATCCTTAACCGATCCTTGAGAAAGTTGCTTATCTTCCTAAAGACATGGCGAACGCGCTAGCCACTGCGCTATCGAGTTCCTCAATTACTAAAGGTTTACTTGCGATTAATGTAATTATAATGCATTTCATTGCAATTACTTTTTTAGTAAATTATAGAGTTCACACTAAAGAATAAACAAATGTTCTGTTCTGTTTAAAAATATGGTAAAACAAAATGAGTTATTATTACACTAAACTGAGTTAAACCAAGACAATTAACAATAAAAAAAAAAGAATTTAAGCAAGTAAATATTTCCTGGTACTTTATGGTACATACAGTAACTTACGATATTATTACTCCATTTGGTCAACTCAATCCATGTCAATCTTTTTCATTCTGGACTTTCTAAAGATGAATTTATCAAAGGATATTAAATAAATCTCAGTTAGGTATATTTCAAGTGATATTTATTTGTACAATTTGTTTATGTTAAAATAGTAAAATACTTAACACTTAATTATAATTAAGTAACTACAAAAAGGTTGTAATATAAAAACAGTAACACAACATCAGAGAAAGGTGTTTGTTAATAAATAGCTAAAGATGCTTGTTCTTGTTACAAATTCCAAATAAATGTAATTTACAAGTAGAAATAAATAATAAATGAAATAATTATGAACTTTTAAAACAAGGATAGAAATAGGTATATTATATTTGTGACGTCAAAATCTACTAAACAGCGAAGACAGAAAGACGTCACAATACAATAAATTATTTACTCAATACGAATAAGTTTTACAAATACTTAGATGTTTTAAAACTTATTCCGTAAGCCGTAGGGTATTGTTGCGATGGATTGACTATTTGTTTAAATTAAGATTTAAAAAGGCAATAAGTAAACCTTTAAAATCCTTTAAATAAACACAGCCTTTTGGTTTACTTTAAGGTTTTTGTAACTTTTTTTTTTAAACACACACGTTTTAAACACCCTATTAAATCGAAAAAGTACTTTTACTACTTACCTTAAAAGTATATACTTAATTTTTAAATAAAAAGTAAAAACAGATCATAACAACAAATTATTGGAAAAAGAAATATGCAAGTAACAACCACAATTCACATAATACCCTACTTCCAAGTTCGTCTGCAGTAGATACATACATAAGGCGCTGTGCACATGTATGGCAGGTAAAGCTAAGGCAACTGTCATGTCGTTATCAATCGATGCGACAATGAACTTTTGCTACGTTCGCACGCTATATTGAAAAATAAATAGTTTTTATAAAAAGTTGCAACGATGCATTTATTAGCTGCCTACGACTATTAGATTCATACAAAATAACTTGTGTATGTTTAAAAGTTTGATATAAAAATATAATATCACTACAAAAAATTATCACCATACACAGAAATATAACCTAAACATTTTTTTTTAATATACTAAGTTTCAATGTGAATTTGTGACGTAGTGAGTGAAATAAAAAAAAAACACGTTACTGTTTATACTTAAAGTTGCCTAATCAATTTCTAACAGATCATATTACGAATAATAAAACCATACTTAATAATATAAACTACGTGTGAAGAAATGCAATTTTGTAAATGAATATGTGTAGATATCCAGTCATTTCATAAAACGATTAGTCATATCATAAAATCCAGTGTGAAATATAGTACTTAGTATCACAAAAATAATGCGTTCTATTCAAAATAATATATTTTTTAAATGCAATCGTAATTTTGTTTTTATTATGGATAATCACTGAGCCATTCGTGATTACTTTTATTTGAAGAACTACAGAAGGATATACCTACCAAGATATACATACTACATACATATATACCAAGGATAAGGATATACATACCAAGCCTGGTTACTACGCGTTTTTTATATATGTTATTTACGGGACCAAAGTGGCGTACTAAATAAAGTAAAATATTACATATATACGAAAAAATAACTATAAATATAGATTCTATATAACTCCTCCGTGAATTGGAAGGCACTTAGTCGTTGATCTACAATATAATAGTTAACAGTTTTAAATTGACAATTAAAAATGGCAACTTTTCATTTACCATTATTTCAAAACATCTTTTGGCTGACAAAAAGAATACTATATAAATATAAACTTATGTTATGCCGTTACCAAATTAACCAATGCCATCATGTCTATGGAATAAATATAAATATGCCTCAGAATTTGGTTTATCAATATTATTGATAAATTAAACATTTCATAATCTAACTAGTACTTTTGAATGAATATTTTGAGGTTACATTGGTTCTTTCCAAACGTGCGTTTTAATGTCTACATAATGATGCAGAATTGTCGGGGTGTTCTAATATTTGTATAACAATTTAAACTATAATACATTATAGGTAATATCCCATAGAATGCGTCCGCGCATTCCTGTAATATTCGAAATATTCTTGAGGTGAATGTGAATGCTTCTTGACTACTTCGTCTAGTTGCATCTGATCACCCCAATCAGCCTGAAAATAAAAAAAAAATAACTACATATGGCATAGTAATGCAGATAAAAAATATATAAATATAGGTGTATATATATATATATATATGTGGTATGGTGGATGCGGGAAGCGCAGGACCGATCGTTTTGGAGATCTTTGGGGGAGGCCTATGCCCAGCAGTGGGCGTCTCTCGGCTGAAATGATGATGATGATGATATATATATGTATACATATACCTATATTTTGGAGCATGGCTCCAAATCTAACAATATGTCAAAATTCTTTCTGTATTTTTGATAATATAATATTTTACTAATGGCTGCGAGGCTGAAGGGATCTAATAAATAATAAGTTTAAGCACCCACTTTAATGATTGATGAATTCAGACACCTGAGTGAATTCGAATTCGGGTTTGGATCTTACAGAATCGCTGGGCTGCTCATTAAGAATTATCTATGAAATTTCTTTGAAGAATTATGATTATTTTTCGCTTTGATTATGGGTATTTGGGTTGCGTACCCATCTGGCTGGAACTTGGCATTCGTTGGAGAGACGCACTGTGCACTGAGCGCGGGCCAAGAATTCGTAATTTGTTTCTTTATAAGGATTTATTCTTTATCATTTTATAACTCTAATCATGTAAATTAGAAAATTTCAATATTTAATAAGCATTAAATAAACAATATATCGCACACCTAGATCTAAACTGAGACAACTCAAAATTTTGAATGAGACTTAGTACAATATTCAAATACTCGGTGATCATACGCATCTATCCAACATAACAGATTCAATAAAGGTTCGGGGATGAGCCGCTAGATAACTTTAACTTTCTTTTGTTGAATTAACAGTGGTCGCGCTCCTGCCACGTAAACAAATGTATTGTCAGACCTCCACATTTGTTTTTTGAGTTGTCTTAGTTTAGATCTAGGTGTGCGATATATATAAATGTACGCGCGTAACTTTCGAACGATTGCAGCAAATCGGATGATACTTTATTAGTGTGTTCTTTATTATCAGGACAAGGTTTGTATACAAGGAAATATATACAAACCTTGTCCTAAAAAAATCCTCAGTCGCGACTGGAGGCATAAAATAGAGTGAAACGAAGTTCGCCTGGTCAGCTAGTAAATGATAAAAGTTATTAGCATTCGCTAGCGTTTCCATTTGCCCACAAAATATTACTAAAATAGGTCGGGAAACAAAAGAAACCGGTATGATGTATATCCTAGAACCGTCCCCTCCGACATATATATACCTACTCGAGGTAATAATTATTTAATAAGGTTTGAAGCTTGATATAAAGATTAATTACGTATTTTACCTTTATTATTAATTTCGATAGATATTACAACAAATTAAAATTATAAAAATTTGAAATATCAGGTTAAGTAACCTCGCAATAGTTCCAAATTTGAGGTGGGTAGGTACCTACTTTAACAAAAATGAAAACTGACAAATAATTACATACAAAGTTTGGGAAGAGCGATCGTTTCTCGTCGAATTTCTTCTGGCTGAGGCACCGCAGTAAATATAGCCGCTCGACCCACGGCCAGATCATGTAGTCGAGCATCCCTGGACGATTACCACCGAAGTAGTTTGTACCTGATTGAATACGAAACTAAGCATTCAACTAAATACTTAAAAAAAAAACACAAGAGCACCCGCCCGAAATACTACCTTGGGCACATGGGACTAGTGATACATACAACAAAATTTGTAAAGTATAAAAGGTAAAATTAGGTAATACACACACACTCAAGCAGGCACACGCACAAGCGCGTGCGCACATACGCGAACACACTTATGTATTTAAGAAAAAATAATAAAATAAATCATATTATTACTTTAAAAACCAGAAATCATGATAGAAGAACGGATTCCTTGGTACAGGCATTCCATACTTAAAAGGGTATTAATACTCATATTCCATGAAATATTAATAAGCTTTGTCGGTTTATGTAAATAAATATTTTTTAATTTGTTTTTTTTTTATAAAACTTTTATCAGGCTACATATTATTTCTTACCTCTTGTACCCAGTTCCTTCTCAAATATATCTAGTGTCTGAATTATTTGTTCACTTCCGAACACGAAATTTGTGTCGAAACATTCCAGGCTGCCTTTGATTAACTGAAAATTAAAATAGAATTTGTTCTGAGGGAAAAGTCTAGGAAATGAATAATGCATATTTGGTCGAGTAGCTTGTACAGCGGTAAACCGGCCACGAAGCTTTGGTTAGGTTATTTACAGACCACCGCAGCCTAGTGGAACTGTCTCAAGCTCCTGTGCACTTTCAGAAGGCAGGCTTTGCCGTCTGTCATGTATATACCTGCTACCAATCATCGTTATCACCCACCAACCCGCTCGGGATGAGTAATGGTCCGTTCTCAATATTTGATCCCATCCATAGAGAAAGCGTGTGCTGCAGCAGTGGGCTCTTAAATATAGTGGAAAGATTTAATCAGAATACAAGACTGGTGTTTGCTAGAGTACCTACCTACTATAAACTGTAATAAATGCATATAAAATGTAAAGCATTTTTATCTTTCATGTGTATGCTAATTAATGTTTGCTTGGTGACATTCTATTCAATTTTAGACCATATTTCCTTATCAACAGGCTTGGATCTTCAACTTTTTCCAACCGGGGCAGAGATATTACGCCTTTACATTACCATATTTTAACTAAGTATGACTTAATTACCGGGCCTGGCGTATTGATTATGTCATTAAACAGGTTCTATTTTCTCGGGAATTCTTCTGGCCTCACCTCATTAAATCGTTCTATAAGTAGTCTGTCCTGCGCCTTCACGAAGGGATCTCTGGAGTGCAGCGGGTTCCGCGGATATTTCTCGTCAAGATAATCACATATGACCACGCTCTCGAACAGATATCTATCGCCGTACTCCGTGGGGATCTCCAGGACTGGAATTTTTACTGAAAATACAAAGTTTTAAGTTTAGAAACCAAGTTATTTCTTATAGAATGTTTTGTCTAGCAAATCTTTTGGTCTTGATTATTTTATAAATGTTAAAAATTAATTCAAAATATTCAAAAGAGAAGCTATGCTCGCGTTGCAAATCTACAGCGACGGTCAGTAGATTTAGTATTCAAATATAACAATCTTATTAATTAATAAATCAGACGATTGGGTGAATTTAACACCAAGTCGCTTGACTAGCTGAACTATTATTTTGGACTCTCACAAACTTAATGTATTAAAAATATATATATTTAATCTATAACCAAGCTCAGTTTCGCGCTGAAAACTCGCGCTATTGGTTTGCAATGTAATATAACAATATCCTCAAGGGTTGCTGTTCCCTGTGATATTTTACCCCGTCAATAGTAGCAAACTGTATTTAATTAAAACAAGAAAAATCTGTTTTTTTTTTCATTTTATTTAATATTTACTCACATCTAGGATTCTTCGCTCTGAACCACTCCGGTAGATGCAGAGGGTCTAATTTGTAAACTTCATATTTGGCCTTCTTCGCCTCCAGGATAAGTAGGACCCTATGGCCGTATGGATTCATATCTACATGGTATAAACGCAGCTTGTCTCCCATCAGGGGTGGAGGGACAGCGCCTGAAGAAATAAAAAACAAGTTAAAAAAAAGCGGAATACGCCCGAGCACATACAAGTTACAATTGTCGTCAATAACCAATGTCTATGGTTTGTGCGCTACATTATTCAAATAAATATAGCTCGCAGAATTCTGTGTTGCGTAATGAAGTTGGGTAGCAACCCTATGTGCCGGTGTAAACAGGAATATTCACATTATAATACTTTGGGGCCGTAATTCAATCATAATTGAAAAATCGTAGCGTGGCGTAGTGTATAAGCGCCGCGGCCCGCGATCGTTGTCGTTAAGCAACTTTAACAGGGGTTAAAAATTATTATCTCGAGCTACTCTGTGCTTCGGAATGTACGTTAAGCTGTTGGTCAACCAATTTAAATGATATCAGTACGACATCAATTTCAAACTCAAATTGAAGTTGGGTGCATATCATTTAATGAATAATAACCTACAAAAAACTTCCGCAAGTCTTTAATAGCATTTTCTAGAATTTTTTCCCTTTTGAGATAAGTATTATTTTTAAGTTTTATGGCGATTATTTTTTAAGTTTTTTTACACTATACATGAATGATGTTACAAAATTATAATTGTTGTTAACTGTTTATTTATTATATTCCTCAATGTGAAGATGAGAAATGTTGAAAATTGAAAAGATGAAAATTGTCATCATGTGTACATGTACCTACACAATATGACGGCACAGGAATTAGTAAAGGGGTGTTATTTTTTTAGACATTTTTTATAATGGCCCATGATGGGCGATCACAGGCCATCACCATTGTGTAGATGACATGATCGTCTATAATTGCCCATGAGCGGCGATAATCAAGACCTATAATGAACCATATATGTTTATAGTATAATACCAAAAGGACGCTCCACAAGGACAGTTTGGTTTCTTGTTTCGTCTTTGAAATGAGGAAGTATTTTTAAAAAAAACGAAAGCACCAAAAAAGCACCTCCACTAGATGATGATTCTAGCAAAAGTTGTTTATTGATTTCCGTTCCTTTTAGCTAACATATTAAAAAACTAAAATTGGAAAAGTTCGAAACTTAGATATCAATACAAATACGAAAAAGTACAAGTATAATATGAGTTGTTTATTGAGTTTTGACAACTAATTTACTTTTACACATGAAAGAAAACCGGATCTAGTTTGATTTCGGGAACTAATGTTTTTTTTTGTTAAATACTTCCTAATTAACGAACGTGGGATGGCCGATCGTGTAGAGAATACGGCGCAATGATGGGAATAATAGGGATGACGACTGGGTAAAAAAATGCAATTCTATTTAGTCCGTCAGTCAGATAATAGAAAAATATTAGATACGTATTTTTTTTTTACTTAAATTTAACAAGAAATGACTTAGATAACAGGCATTAAAGTTGAGGAGTGGGGGCTCGCTACGTCACAGTTGAGTAGAAAACGTACTCTAACGTGACGTCATGCGAAATTTCAACTCCATGTAACGCCGTTATTTTATGATTACGGAAAAAATAAAAAAAAACGCGTTTAATTTTTTTTAACACTACCTGACGGACAATCAAACAAAAATTAGTCATCAACCCCATTATGGTGGAACTCAGTGATCGCCCATCATGGGTAAAAATGTGGACGGCATATTAAACTTTAAGCTATAATGCTGAATTATTTAAATTATTATACAGATAAGTAAACAATTTTCAAATGCGTTAGTTTATAAATAGACCCGCAATTAACTGGATTAAAAAAAAGGTTGCACGGTCTTTTAAGTGAGAGGTGTATTTCAAAATTTTCATTGATACAGGAGAGCGTGCCCGCATTTAGTTGATCTTATCTAAAAGTAAAGTCACTAGGCATCTTATTGACTAAGCATGAGATTGGGTATGTTTAGAATGATGTTTAGAATTCGGTTAACCTGAATAAGCTAGCTTATTCTAATACGATCAACTCTCTTCTTTATCAGTGAGTACATTAGTTAGTAGGCTATCAGTGTTTGTTTAATTTTAATAAATATTGACAAAAAGCACATCTCAAGGACCTATAATAATATATTTTTACACGTATAAATTGGAAAGCTAATTATTTATATACTAATAATTATCATCATCAGCCCTTTTACGTCCCCACTGTAGGGGCTCAGGCCTTTCTTATGGATGGTTAAGGAGGATGGGCCATGACCCTCCACGCTGGCCCAATGCGGATTGGAGGGTATTAACGACTGCAAATACAGCCGGGACCAACGGCTTAACGTGCCTTCCGAAGCACGGAGTAGCTCGAGATAATAATTTTTTAGTCACCCATCCCGTGACCGACCCTTGCGAAAGTTGCTTAACGACAACGATCGCGGGCCGCGGCGCTTATCCACTACGCCACCGAGCCACTAATAATTATACTAATAATTAAAGAGGAAAGATTTGATTGTTTATTTGTTTGATTATAAGACTCCGAAGCCATTGGACCAATTTAAAAAAAAACACCTACGGGAAGCTTCATCATATGCGGTGAACTTAGGCTATATTTTATCCCGAAAACCAGCAAATAGAGGTATGAAAATGGGAGTGGGAGTTTGTATAGGGAATTTAAACGTTACCATAGTAACCATTGTTAACTATTCAATTTCTCATTTTAATTATATCCGTAACACGACATTAATCGATATCCAAATAAACCGTTCCCTAGAGACTTAGCGGGCGAAGCCGCTGGCAGAAAGCTACTTTGTTTAAAGAATTAGATATCTGCTTAATTTGAGATATGTTTAAAAATTATACTTAATAAGTCTTAAAAAGGAATTTCAAATACCACGAAGCGCTACAGACAAGTAGGTATAATAAGAAAAATAAAGAAGCAATTTTTGGTTACTAATAACTTGGTAACAAAACCAAAAGAAGCCATAAACATGAAGTTAAACTATGTAAGACATAAAGTTAAACTATGTACAGGCAGGCTTAGTTATAAAAATAAATAAACATTGACTGTAGGATGCACTATGAAACCAGTATGCGAGACATTAAGGAGGTCATATATATAAGGAGGTAAGCTCGGTGGCGTAGTGGATAAGCGCCGCGGCCCGCGATCGTTGTTGTTAAGCAACTTTCGCAAGGGTCGGTCACGGGATGGGTGACCTAAAAATTATTATCTCGAGCTACTTCGTGCTTCGGAAGGCACGTTAAGCCGTCGGTCCCGGCTGCATTTGCAGTCGTTAATACCCTCCAATCCGCATTGGGCCAGCGTGGAGGGTCATGGCCCATCCTCCTTAACCATCCATAAGGAAGGCCTGAGCCCCTGCAGTGGGGACGTAAAAGGGCTGGTGATGATGATGATGATATATTATTTCGTTTTACGAACGAAATTAAAATGACCTAATCCTACTAATGATATAAATGCAAAAGTTTGTGGGGACGGATGTATGTTTTTAATCCTTCACGTAAAAAATACTGATGCATTTTAATGAAATATGGTATATAAATAATTCTAAGCCTGGATTAACATTAGTTCCCTAGCAGTGCTATTAATAAATAATATTTATCGTCAGAGTAAATTTATGCTAGAATTGCAATTTTACTTCTATTCCAAATTCATATTATACAAAGAATAATCAAACCTACTACCTTCTAGTGTAACGGTGTGCCATGCCACCGTTTGTTTTCCTAGGTTTCAGTATGCAAACTTTTTACTTTTGAAATTCAACATCATTTCATTTTATTATTCGTCTTTCGTAATTTAAAATTTTGACTAATCAATTATACTCTTTATGGATGTCAGTTTGTAAGAAATTCTCCTATGCACAAGATGAAATTATAATACAATACAATATTAATGGTATAAATTTTACTATGTAATTTTAAAATAATTCATTTATTGTGATAAATAATGTGATATGGTGATACAAATTATATAACATATGTAACTACTAAATTGTAATCTGTATATTGGACGATCCAAAAGTTAACTAGAAGCCCGACAAGGGTTTTTTTCTTATTACCCTTATTTAACTAATAAATATATACTCAAGCTAAGCAGCCTTATTAATTGATCCAAGCACCGAACCCGTAACAAATGGAGTAAACATTACTCTCGTAGAACCTCCTACTAGGTAAACTTTCGCTAAGTCTATATTTAATAATATGAATTTTGACTTATACTATGTCCAGTCTCAGCGTAAATTTACTCCAACGCTAAACTTTGTTTATTAATAATAATAACACTGTAAGGGTATAAGTACCACAAAAATTTAGAAGCTCGAAGCAGCTGGCATTGAACTATAGCATACTATACAATCAATAAACAAGTATGAACTATAACCAGCGTGACCCGCACGCTGTTGACAAATTTATAAATATCGTCACATATCAGAATTGCTCACATACCAAATATGTATAGCTAAAGCTTATAAATGAATCGTACGTAAATAAATAATCTAAAGATTTATCTATAAACAGACCAATTCAGGTAATGTATACGTAATAATGGCATCCCAATAGTCTGAATGAATTGTATATTACGATTGTACTATCTACTAAAAGTTCAATGAGGATGTATTTAAAACAAACATTAGTTTACTTAAATCAAACTAGGTGTCGCTACGGTACTTTCTTATTTCTCCATGACAATCCTTCCAGATTTCTTTCATGTCTAAAAGTAAATTGGTTTTCAAAAGTCAATAAACAATTCATATTCTATTTGTATTGATATCTAAGAGATTTCTTTCATGTCTAAAAGTAAATTAGTTTTCAAAAGTCAGTAAACAACTCATATTCTATTTGTATTGATGTCTAAGTATCGAACTTTGTAAATTTCATTTTTTATGTTAGCTAAAAGGAACGGAAATCAATAAACAACTTTTGCTAGAGTCGTCTAAAGGAGGTGCTTTTTTGGTGCTTTCTTTATATTTTTAAATACTTCCTAACTAGTACAAACAATGTCTTCCTCATTCATCAAAGATAAATAATACCTTGACCTGACAGATATATAACAACATTGGATTTCAGGTAGATAATACTTGCAAGTAGTTGATTCTATTGAGATGCGACCATTACGTACACATTAATAGAATGTCGACGGTTAACGCAGACGGATTCCTTGTGAGGTACACAGAGAGAACGAAACGCCATATTAATGTGTAGCTGAACAGAGATGGATTACTTTTAAGTTCTATAAAACTGTATTATTAATTAAGCTATATGTTTATATATGATATGTATATGATTTTATAGAAATTAATTTTAATTTTCTCTAGCTAATCGTGTCACTGTCTTTGATACAAAGGTCACTGTAAAATTGTAAGTAATAGGTTCTGGTAAGGTTAGATTATATTAACTAAGGAGCTCAATGGCGCAGTGGTAAGCTAGTTCGGTTTAAAAAGACGGAGGATGCGGCTGTTAAGTAATTTTGGCAAAGGCCGGCCATAGGATGGGTGACCGTTCGATTCGATTTCATCCATAGGGAAGGCTTGTGTCCTAACAACGAAGATATTAATGGGCTGATGATGATGATAATAACTCTAAATATGTAAAAACAACGCTTTCTGCTTTATTGAATCCACGAATTACAATTTAGTCTTTTTATTTATTCTGCTTGGTAGCTAACTACTTCAATTACACATTTTCTTACGATCTATCTTATATAGAACATATTAGAAGATTAGATTTTTTATCTACTATATTTGGCAAGATATTTGGTAATCACATTTCATTTCTCAGTACAATGACCGCGGATGCTTAACAATAATTACGTCACCTGGCTATGATGTCATAAGTAAGAAGGTAGGTATTCTAAGCAGCATACGATAATTTATGGTAATTTTTACAAGTTATTAATGAATTAAGTATACAATACACGTTTTTCTGTGCCTTCAAGTTAATTGCATGCCATGAACCGCTAGATTCATTCTAGGGATATTAATTAACGCCTATTTTGTTTAATAACTTCTACATCGGCTTTTGAAATAATGTGCTACACATTTTAGTTTGAAAAAAGCTGGAGGTCTTTGATTTATATTAATTTATTTATATACATTTGAAATAAATCTGTCGAGTAGTTGCAGAGAAAAACAGCTATGTCAGACGAAAAGACAGATGGACAACTGAGTGTTATTGTAAGGATTCTCTTTTTCCTTTCATAATACAAAAAAATAGAATAGGTAATCTATGTTATTTTTGGAATATATATTTATAAATAGCAACAAATATTGTTTTGAATGTAAACAAAAACAATAAAATTGTCTCAATGGAGTACATACCTATACTAAAAATAAAAATTTTTATCCGTTACAATAATTGAAGAGCCACTCAGATTATAAAAAGAGCCACTATTCTCGCCTACAGTAAACAAAACGCAAAGCAAGCTAACCATTTACGTATCAGGTCAAGGATTTAACAACGATAAATAAATCTAAATGAAACTCCGTTGCGACATACAATGCACATTCGTCATCCACGCTCGCTTTCCAGACGGCACATTAAACCGAAATGTATGCTAAACAGTTACGAAATTATGGAACCTATATCAAAAATAATATGACACACATTGAAACTCGGTGAATATTTAACACAGCAACTGTACTATTTACTTGTTCAATTTTAATACATGTGGGTAAAATATTTTCTTTTTTTGCTCTAAAAAAGACGTGTTTTTAAAACAATTGCCTAGATAATACCTATTCAAGGTTTGAATTATTTTTTTTTATAGCTAAGGAAATACTGTAGCTACATTGAAAGTGTTCAAAATTATTTTATGACGTCCTATGAACAGCTGTTCGCTTGCTATTTCCGCTATTTCTTTTATATAAAAGTATCTTTCTATAATAACAAGATAAAAATATCTACTTATAAATTTGTATGTACTTTACCGGGTTTTATTATTATTGATTTAACGAAGCGACCTAAGTAAATAAACTAAAAAAGGGAATAAATCGATAAATTAAATCGATATTATAAATATTTGAGATATTCATTTCTTATATTATTATTATAAGAACTCCTCAACCATGACAACCAAATCGCAGTTAAATTAGACACCGAATTTTATTGAAAATAATTCATAAATGCGTGTTCAATTAAGTCGATTTAGTAAAAGGATAACTCACCGGTCGCCCTATGCTCGTAATATGTCATATTTTCTTCTATGAATTTGCACCTGCGATTGATGGAACACGAAAACACTGTCTATCCTGCAAAATCTAATGTGGAAATAGCTTAAAGTAACGTCACAGTTAAAATTATGCTACAAGGTATGACATCATTTCGACCTGATTATAAATAATACTGCCAAATACGAATTGCCAAAACATGATAAATAAAACATGCACCAGTGATAACCTTCTGAATTTAGTTGTTTTTTATTAGAAGGTCGTCAATATATCACGTAGTTAACTTTTAGTAAAATACCTTCTGATTTTTATAATAAAAAGCAAATTTAATGTTTTATAAGTAAAAAAGTAACTACACTTGTAAGTTATTAACTAATATGATTGATGTTTTTTTTTGGGAACTCTTTTCTAATATTTTTATTATTTTAACATCAGCAGACCAAATTAATATTATTAGAGCAATAACAAAACGCTTTAAAGGGTTGTCATACTTTACAACTTTCTACTAGATTTAAAATATTTTGTTTAAAGTGAGATAAAAATAGGTTTCATGTTATATAAAAATTATATCCAAGTAGTATACGTATTATAAAAAAAATGTGGTATAAAGCACCTTTTTTATTATAAGAATTTCATATACTGATAATTTTTAATCAAAATAGAATGAAAATCATGTCTATAGTTCTAGTTAGCAAAAAGTGACATAGTAGTTCTTTCATATTATTTTTGAGCAACATTGTTTCTGACGTTTGCTGTCAAACATGATTTATAAAAAGTGTTTGTAGATTTCGTCCTTTTTGAGAAATCATAAAAAAGTCATAAAGGAAGATAATATTTCATCAAGACATGATTAATTAACACTGTTACATAAATAGCTGATCTTAGTATACCATATACAAGTAAATATTTATCACTAACATTGCCGTAGATGTTGTTTTTTTTGTTTAGTATTTCTGACGATCGATTTAAAAACAAGTTTATGACCGAGTGCTGTCGTGTTTGTGTTGTTTAATTTGTTTTTTACGTGATATTTTCATTACATTGAAATAGTTAATTTATGGTATGTCTTGATATATTTAATTAGAATTTTTTAGTCATGGACCAAAATGAAGAAAACACAGAGAATCCGGAAAAGACGGATAAAGATGAGACTACTAAAGGTGATAAAAAATCCGAGGAACCTGAAAATCCAGTAATATCTGATAATACCATTGAAGAAGTTGTAATAAAGTGTGATGTCATAGAAATCTCGGATGAAGAGGAGGAAGTACCACAAAAGTTAGTAAATTGTTATCGCAAAAAAAAACATTATCTCGCAAATTAACGAAATTAATTTACAATCAGTTTAAAAAAAATGCATATGGCTAGGCCTTTGCGAAAGGATCTTAACTTCCTTGTCACAGACCAAATTCTCTAACTACTGTGTCATTAAGCTCCTCCCTGTGTAGCAGCCAAAATACTATTTATATATTTATCTTTACAAAGGAAACGTCGAAGAAAGAAGGTTTCCAACAAGGTTCATCAATGTGAGGTATGTGAGAAGACCTTCCAAACGGGCTATGAACTGAAGAAGCACCACCGTACCCACACTGGAGAACGTCCTTACATGTGCACCACATGTGGGAAGACATACACACAACTAGGACACCTCAGCATACATCAATTATCACACAAAGGTATTAATTTAAGTAGCCTGAGCTGGCCAACAGGCTTGCCTAAGTAGAGTAAACTAAGGGGCAAAAGACATAGCGAGCCTAAGCTACCATATGTTTATTTGGGACACTCCAGTGAGGGGTGAACATTTTATCAAGTGTATATTTTATTATTGTTAAAGTCTAAAGATTGTAGTCAGTGGCATATTCCTTTTAACATTGTTTCTGTTACCGCCACACACGTTATTTGTACTGCCAAAAGAAATGTGGAATTCAATGCATTCAATAGTAATAAAAAACTAATCTGATGTAAAAAAAATTCATAATAAAAGAGAAAAAACTGAAGCCAAGACTCATGTTCCTTCGGTCTTGATGATCTTAATCGCCACTTTTCTTGTATTAAAACTCTGTCCAATAATATTAAATTTCTCACAATTTCTAAAATTACATCCTCGGCTATGCCATCTGACACTTTCTTTACCTTTACTCAAGTAACAGAGGACGATATCCGCAAGATAGTTCTTTCTATTAAATCTCAGGCCACCGGCTATGATAACATAAGTCGGAAGATGATTGTCTTACTACTTGATGCCATAATTCCTATACTTACTTTCATCCTGAACTATTCCTTATCTTCCGGCTCATTTCCTGTTGTGTGGCGTAAGGCCTATGCTATCCCTCTTCCAAAAGTCTCCAACCCCAGCTCCTTGAATCATTTTAGACCCATTTCCATTCTACCTTTTCTGTCAAAGGTACTTGAAGCGGTAGTTCATAAACAACTTTCCTCTTCCATTTTTCGCAACCAGCTTCTATCCCCATTTCAGTCTGGATTTCGACCTGGACACAGCACCACTACAGCACTTCTAAAAATCGTGGAGGATATACGTGATGGCATGGATGATACATGTCTTACTGTATTAGTCCTACTAGACTTCTCCAATGCGTTTAACTCAGTTGACCATGACGTCTTACTTGCTCTTCTCGCTCAGCTTGGATGTTCTTCCTCTGTGCTTGCTTGGTTCTCATCTTATCTTCGCGGGCGCCAGCAATCAGTACGGGTTGATCAATCGCTTTCCGATTGGGTTGACTTAATTGCTGGTGTGCCTCAAGGCGGCGTTCTTTCTCCACTTCTTTTTTCCTTATTTATAAACTTTCTCACATCTACTCTTTCAACCTCTTATCATCTGTACGCTGATGATTTGCAATTGTATGCTCAAGATAAACTTGAGAATTTGGATAGGGTCATTTTGCAACTGAATCAAAATCTATCTCGAATTTGGGAGTGGTCTCAAAGTTTTGGAATTACTGTGAATCCTGTCAAATCCCAGGCTATTATTATTGGTAGTCCAAGGCTGATTTCATTACTTAATATGAATGCAACTCCGCCTTTGTTATATAATGGGGTGGTAATTCCTTATTCTTCAAACGTGAAAAACTTGGGTGTAGTCTTTGACCGTACTTTGTCTTGGGAGGGGCACTTGGACAGTGTCAGTAGACGAGTTAATGGCACTCTTGGGGCTTTGTACCGACTAAAAAATTTTCTTCCGTCCAGTACTAAGATTGTCCTCGTGCAGGCGCTTATTCATCCCCTCTTTGATTATGCTGATGTTTGTTTTTCTAACATGAACCAAATATTTCTAGACAGATTGGATCGTCTACTGAATAATACTATACGCTTCGTTTTCGGTCTACGTAAATACGACCATATCACTGAATTTCGTAATCAACTGAAATGGTTGCCCATCCGTGAACGCAGGTTCTTGAGAATAGTATGTTCTCTCTTCAAAATTCTTTACGATCCACATACTCCTGAGTATTTGAAATCTAGGTTTCAATTCTTAGGAGTCTCACATCCGAAGGAACTTCGCTCCAGTTGCAATCTTGTACTTCAAACTCCTGCTCACCATACTCGGTTTGTCTCGGATTCTTTTACCCTCACAGCCATAAGACTTTGGAATGCACTTCCTTTGAATATCCGGAATGTGTCAAACAGTTTCGTATTTAAGAGAAAAGTACGAGAATATTATCTCCAATCAATTCGTGTGTCCTAGTCTTCGTTTATCAGTATGTATATATATATATATATATATATATTTGTATGTCTATGTATTTTTTATATAAGTTTATAGTGTGTATGTATATATTTGTATTTTATATATAATTTGTTGGTATAATTAGTAATAAGTTGTAACTTTGTTCTTCTATGATACCGCCTTTTGAATGCTCTGTACACCTTCACCGGTTTGACTGGTAGAGAATGCCTTTTTGGCATTAAGTCCGCCATTGCTATGTTATAGGCATAAAGATTAAATAAATAAATAAATAAATAAACAACTGAAAAGAGAAAAATAATACCATAAATTTTTATCTTCAATAAATAACAGTTAAATAAAATAACAAACAAATAGATACACTCTAAAAAGTGACATGGGACTTAATGGATTGGATATCCTCTGTCTTGATATATTATTGATCTCTGACATACATTTCACATCTCGCAGTCAAGTCCAAATCAGAAACTATAATACATATACCACAAATCACCCTGATAGTTAGTACATGGTGAAACAGCTGTGATTATTAAACAATCTTTTAAACATCACAAACTTCAAACCATGTTTCCATGATCCTTACTATCTCTGAGACTGTTTTACATTGTCAACCAAACTGAAGACTATAATGAAAAAACTGTACACACAGGAAATCAGGAGAAACATAAATACTGTGGAGGATAAGAAAGCTCCTGGTTTTGATCTCATTGATAAAAAAGTGGAAACTGTCTAAAGGAACTGTCTAAAAAGGCCATAATGTTACTAACAGCCATTTTCAGTCATGGAGAAGCCAGATATGGAAAATCTCACAGATTATCATGATCCATAAACCAAGTAAACCTTCCCATGAGGTCATGTCATAACTGATCAGCTAACTACCAACTCCTTCTAAATGTTTCAGAAGATATTATTGTGTAGGCAAATTCAATGTCTTTCATCCTGAATCACCAGTTTGGATTCAGGCCAAGGCATAGTACTGTTGAGCAGATACACAGAGTTTGCTGGGAGATCATGAATGCGCGAATACTCTAGAAACTAAACAATATTGTGCATCGGTTTTTCTTAATGTGCAACAGGCCTTTGATGTGCAAAATAAAAACATATCTACTTCACTCAATTCTATACATTCTGGCATTACCGATCAGGTAGAATTTTTCAGGAAAAAGAGGAACACCCGACTTCCATCTTCTGTGACATATTGGCGGGTGTGCCATAGGGTTCCGTTCTGGGTCCGGTGTTGCACACTGTTTTCACGGCAGATCTCCCTCAAAATCCTGGTGTTACAATTGCAACCTATGCAGACGACACTGCTGTTCTAACGCGCGACAAATGTCCAATTAAAGCATCTACAATTCTACAAAGGAGCTTTAATGACATCAGTGAATGGTTGAAAAAATTGACATTAAGAGCCAGTTCAACAATATCAGCACAGATCACCTTTACCTTGAAACAACACAAATACCTCCAGTAACGTTGGGTGTCACTCAACTCTCGCAAGCAAACAGTGTAAAGTAGCTGGGCGTGCTCTTGGACCAGCGTTTAACATGGCAGAAGCACATAGAAACCAAACGTAAAGAAGTAGATCTTAAGTACAAAGGCATGTACTTAAGGGCTCTTGGGTAGAAATTCAAAGCTGTCCTTAGACAATGACCTGCTGATCTACAATATGGTCCCAATGTGGGTCCGCCTTTAACTCCAACATATCTAAAATCTAAAGAACACAGACCAATATATTAAAAATAATATTCAATATTCAGTGAACCATGGTTCTTTAAAAAGGCCATGAGTACCTAGGCATGAACACAGCCAAGTAAGAAATTAATAACTTTTCAATCAAATACAAGTCTAGATTGGAAAATCACCCTCATACTTTGGCTGTACAACTTAGGATCCCGGACTACATCAATTTATAGATTAAAGCGGCGTCACATTTTAGATCGCCATAGCTTGGCATAAGTTAAGTAACGATTAAAGAGGTGCTACCGATGGGTAATAGTTCTACTTGACTTTAATGTCACACCATATATATATGCTCATAGTTACTACAGCTTGATCGCATATTTAAGCAGAACAATAAAAAAATTGAAACACAAAAATGAATACACCAATTTTTTTTGAGGTCAGTGCCAAATGTTTACTAGAAAATATAATTTATGGTAAGAGAAAAATAGATTTCCGATAGTGCTGTTTTACTTCTTACTAATGATAAAAACACAAACCACATCAAAAAAATTGTTTGGTGTATCCATATTTGTGTTTCAATTTTATTGAAGATAAAAATTCGTGGTATTGTTGGTTTCGTGGTTTTTTCAGTAGTTTCTTTTTATTACGTTTTTTTGAAGTTGGTTTAATTATTATAAAATTTATTTTTTTAATTTCTCTCTCTTTTTTAATAATTTTATACATATAACTTATAATTAATATAAAACTAAATTATATACAGTTGGTATATAATTTAGTAGTAAAGTGAGCCAATTTGGTGATTTATTTTCGGGTCATTTAGGGTCAGTACCAGTTAATTTTAGAATGTAATACACAGGAAAACTGACAGCCTCCTTTTTTTTGAAGTCAGTTAAAAAGTATGATAACATGTGATAGATAATGAATAATATAGACAAAGGCATAATGTAATATAAGTTTTAACATTGTGATACACTTACCTAAGTGTGAAGCAGTAGTATAGTATTATATGATGAAATTAAAATTTCATGTACCTCCTGCAGGCATAAAGAACTTCAACTGTGTCGAGTGCGGCTCCTCGTTCTACCGTAAGGCCGATTTAGACAGACACGAGAAGGCTCACCGGGGCATCAAACCTCACACATGCGAAATATGCTCCAAGAGTTTCACACAGAAGAACAATTTAGTTATGCACATAAAAATGCACATAGGTGACAGGAGGTATGAATGCGAGGTATGCAAGAAACGATTCATGACTAGGAGTAAGCTAACATTACACTCTAAGAGGCATGATAAAATTAAGAAATGTCAGACGGGTCAGCTTATGGGGCTCATGTCTAATGTTTATAGTGAATGAAAGTTAGGACAGCTCCTAATATTATGTTAATATACAGTTATTATGTTAAAATGGAATGGAACATAAAGGTTTCATTATTATTGTCAATAGATGGCTCTGATTTCAGTTTTCATGCTAAGAAGAAAACGAACGTCATCTTGTTATTAAATGTCAAAGGGCGATATTTTGATTTTAATATTTTATTTCTTTAAAATGTTATTGGAGGAATATAATCAATGGATTTTTGGATTGGTTTATATGTAATATAATTTTAATGGGTGGACAGGACCGTTATGAACCGTTTTTGCTCACCATGACATTAACGGTAACCAACAATAATTGTCTTGTAAATTTTTCCACTACCTGTTTCCGCGAGATACAATGTCAGTTAAAATGTAATTGAAATTCATTGTAAAATTTTGTATATGATAATTGTAAAGAAAAAAAGTAATATTCAAACGGATATTAACATTTGTCAATGTTTGAGAAAAAAATGTGTATTTTGTTTTTAATTCTGTTGTAGTAAAATCATGAGTTTTTTTTTAATATTTATATATTTGACTACGGACACACAGTACCCTCGTGATCTTATTAGATAAAGTACAGTGCACATGAAATATTTGATATTTACAATTTTACCTAAATAAATATATTTTCGATTGCATTATCAAATCGTACTGTACTTTAACAGTCAAATTGAATTATAAATCAAAGACACAAAATTTATACACTGGCTGTTACTTAACGTGATGCTTAAGCTTTATTCACACAATATCAGTACCGCATAAGTCTACTCTGATTCTCAGAAAACGTAATTTCTAATAACACTCCAAAGATCTGACGTCTCTGAAGCATAATCTTCATGGATATGTAATATTTATTACAATTTCACATTCACTTGTTTCTAAATATGACGTAAAAAATAAGTGTTGTGCGTTTTCATTGAAGAAGTAAAGGGGGCCTGAAAATATTTATAGTTCGGGGAGCCTCAACGCAAAGGTTGCGGAACCCTGATCTAAAGCAATGGCTATTATCTAGTTCCATATTATTGAACTGAGACATTTTTCCTATAATAGAGATGATGATACTGTTTGTCTGTCTGTCAGATAGATATTGAAAATATTAAACAAGTGTTTTATTATTTTAGACGAAATCTATAAATTACGGCGATACATTATTGAAATGTCGCATGACGTCACACCTTTGCACATTTTCTTCATAGCTGTGACGTAGCGAGCCGCCAATTCTCAACTTTAATAGCTATTATAAATACCAGTTCTGGTCTAATATTTTTCTATTATCTGACTGACTGACTAATATATAAATAGTTTTTTTTTATATCCAGTCATTATTCTCACTGATTATTTTAATATGGACCAGTGTCAGTGCCGTGCCGCAACTGATTTGATACGTCACGTCAGTGATACGTGTGAATCAAGCTTTAGGTAAAAGAACGCGGTTTAATTTTGTCGACTGTTAATAGATGGCGCTGTATTATTTATTTATTATTTTTTATTTCCACGATCAATGAATTTTCTTTTTGGATCAGAAAAATATGTAATAACAATGTAGGTACTAAACATATTCTTGAAAGATGTGAAAATGTTTCAATCGTTTATCAATAAACATCCATTTTGGTGATTGTCTTTTGATAACGAACGAATTAGTGACAGACACAAGTTAATTTAATTTGTTATAAGATTCTTACGCGTAATGTGATTAATGTCCAAATAGCTAACTTGTGACAAAATGGGTTTTAATTTTTTATATTCTTCATCATACTTTAGAAATAATGCAAGTAAATGTATTCACAGTTTGGCTACAGTTGGTAACCATTACAACGCTGTTGGTGATGTCGCCTTGTCCTAATTTTTTAAGTTGAATTAAGTTTTATCACCAAACTTTTACAATATACCTACCTACATTTTACTGTTAACTTTTTAAGTTGGTAAACAAATAAATCATTCCAATTTTTCATATTTTCTTTTATTTATAAATTCCTTTAGTATATACTGTTACGGAGCGCAGCGGCGCAATTCGTCTACGCAGGCAGCAGATGGCGATGTTGCGCTAACACTTGAGACTACCTGTGACATATAGGTATATATCGAGTCTGTGAGAATTGGACCGTCACTGGAGATGATAGTAACGGGTAGCTGTTCCAGAACTTTTTGGTAATGACTCGAATACAGCAGTAGGGCCGAGGCCAATCGAGAATGTTCCAGGTCCTAACCTAGAATATTGTAGATGTGGTATCGGCCCCTATAAATACGTGGTGGAGGCCCGGCATTCTTCAATGAACAAGCAGTCTGAAAGCAAGAGCGATCGGAAGCGATCTCGATCAACAACTAGTGCGGTGAACGATCTAATAGTGTTGTGAAATGAAATAGTGATGTTAAAGTGTGTATTTTGTTAATTAAATAAAGTCGGGTTGTGAACTTAATTGGCGTTACTTTTTATCCCAAACCCGAACACGTAACAATACCAAGCAAAGGTGTCGTGAAAATGTAACGAAGTGGCAATACCTGTCACCTACCTTGACACCAAGGAATCTATATATTACAATTAAGATATAAAATACTATACACAGTATATAAGATTATTACAAAAGGAAAAAATCTTGATTATTTAAACTTAACTCTTCGACTTAATTAGCAAATAATTGGAAATTTATTGGATATCTTTTGTAATAATCTGACGTGTTGTTGATAGTACCTTTATATAAATGGGTATAAAATGTCTTCCTTCATGCTTCAATATTTACAATACGAAACTGTAACTTGATACATAAATATATCAAAGTAGTGAACTATGTCGTCCGCCACTTGAAGGGTTTGGCTCTGGTTCTTTAAAACTAGTAAATAAAAGCATGTAGCCATTTTTATGTAAAATATCATAATAATAGCACAATTACCTATGAAATACTGATTAATATCGGTAACAAGGTAGTATGGTTCACATAGAACGAAATTATTCGGAGTTTATACCCAAATTTTTAATAGCTAGAAACATTGTTATGATGAAAAATCTAAAGAAAATGGTACTTATATAGTTTAAAACAATTCAAAATCAGCCTGCTCGTGAAATTTTGTTGATAGTAAATCAAGTAGAAAATCATCATCATCATCATCAGCCCATATTCGTCCACTGCTGGACATAGGCCTCCCCAATTGTACGCCATCTAATTACAAGAAAATTACATTAATTTAATTTTAAAACTCCGATCGGAAAATAGAGCGCTAATTCTACTAAATAAATTTGTTTCTTTCGGTTTCGATCCGTTTTCGATTCGATTTAAACAAAATTAATTTAGTAGAATTGGCCCCCAGGGGCGGGTTAACCTATATTAGTGCAGGGTATGCAATGCACACGGGCGCCGCTCGTTGGGGGGCTCCACACCGATGATCATCGGGAAATTCCCTGTAAAGAGGGGGGGGGGGGGGCTGTGCTTAAGACGGGCCTGGTGGACACTACCTGACGCAGATAAACGTCACGCCTGCAATAAAGTTAAAGACGTACAATTGTTACGGGTTCGGTGCTTGGATCAATTAATAAGGCTGCTTAGCTTGAGTATATATTTATTAGTTAAATAAGGGTAATAAGAAAAAACTGTAACAAACAAAAATAAATTTATAAAAACAGTTCGTAAGTTACTTAACTAATACATACTTATCAAATAAACGAATACATACCCCTTGTCGGGCTTCTAGTTAACTTTTGGATCTTCCAAAATACAAATTACAATTTAGTAGTTACATATGTTATATAATTTGTATCACCATATCACATTATTTATCACAATAAATGAATTATTTTAAAATTACATAGTAAAATTTATACCATTAATATTGTATTGTATTATAATTTCATCTTGTGCATAGGAGAATTTCTTACGAACTGACATCCATAAAGAGTAAAATTGATTAGTCAAAATTTTAAATTACGAAAGACGAATAGTAAAATGAAATGATGTTGAATTTCAAAAGTAAAAAGTTTGCATACTGAAACCTAGGAAAACAAACGGTGGCATGGCACACCGTTACACAATATTTACTGATATGTGTAAATATTGTGTATAAAATATGTATGTAAAACATACTAATTAAATGTTTGTGCACAGACCGTTGGACATTGGATTGATTCAAAGTATTTTAGAACCCATGACCTTTTGCAATTCGAACGACTGCTCTAACCACTGAGCTACCCAGGACCTAACAGGACTGACGAATCTTTCAAGCACTTGTTACTTTTCGCTACCCCGGATTACGAAAGGTCATGGGTTTGAGTCCCGTCTCAGAGTGCCAGGGATAAAGTGGATTTTTTAAGACCGAGCTATACTGAAAAATATACTTAATGAAATTAAAAAAAAAAAACATTTTTACATTTTAACTTATTATCACCCAGTTGCACAAACTTCCATTAAAATTGACATTAGTTTAAAGCGACATTACCCATACAAATTTGACATACATTAGAGCTTAAAGGCATCTTTAAACCTTAATGAACGTTTGTGCAACCGACTGTATATCAATAATACTATTTTTAAATATTTTTTTTTATAAAATAAAAATTGTACTGTATTGGCCTGCTGAACAGATTTTCATGTAGCGGCAGAAGTAATTCATGAAGGCTTCATTGCCTAAAATATACCTAATGATGATCGTTGAAGAGGGGTTCGTAGGTATACAGATAATCACAACAGTTGTACAAAATAATAACAATAAGTTATTCCTAATGAAATTGTCAAAAAAAATCAATTAAAACATGCAATCGCGATTAGACCCTAATAATGCTTCCGATTTTTTTCTTATGAGGTACGGAACCCTAAAACGTAGTCTAGATGACATAATATATTCATTGCATTACTGATTCTAAGCACGACGTTATCTCGATATAATTTAACATTTTTATCGATAAAGTTTTTAATCAGCTTCGGTGAAGTATTAAAGTTAGGTCAGTTTCGAAAACATTTTTTTTCAATCTTATTTTTTTACTTTGTCTATGGAAGCAATGTTTTCATAAGTTTAATAAAAAAAAACGAAAATTTCGGAGCGGGCGGTTTTAAAGCCACAGACCGCGGTAATAATAGAAAACCAATTAGTACGATGAAGGCACATACAAACTTCCCGAGATATATATTATAGTCTTTGGCACAAACTATACATTAATTTAAGATAAACCCGGTTCCCTGTGTATTAATTAGTATACAACAAAGGTTGTCACTTCTAATATATTATAAAGAGAAAAAATTTGACTGTTTCTTTGTTTGCGTCGAATAAACTCTAAAACTACTGAAACGATTTTAAAAATTATTTCACCTACGGGGAGCTACATCATACGAGGATGACCTGAGCTATTATTGTGTTATAATTATAATTTATACAGGCGAAGTGACGGGAAAACTAGGAATATATCAAAGTAAATACTTTTACTGGGGTAATTTAATTTATTGTGTAGGAACCGTCTTAAATATTCTATATTTAGTATTTGTTGTTATATAAGCAGCAGAATAAGTGAAAATTCCAATTGTCTAACTATCACGGTTCATGAGACTCTAGTGACAGACGGACGGACAGCGGAGTCTTAGTAATGGCACAGTGAATCTATACTTACTTAGCATATCGAATCGAATATGCGCTGTTATGATTATGTCAATTACACAATGACATTTCAATGATGAAATAAAAAAAAAAACAATTGTTTATAATATTCCTTTCCTAAAAATTTTCGGCCTTTCGAATTACATCGTCATATTATTATATCGTCTAAGAGGCTTTTAATCAGGCTAATTTATAACCAAAAGGATGAAATATCAAAAAATAAATAATTGCACATTTATCTCACGTTTTCAATTCACCCACGCTTAACTGAGTAAACTTAGTTGCCTTATAAAAAGGGGTGTCCAACAAGGAATCAGCCATTCGCCGATCAGCTGTTCCCCCAGCGCCATCTTGAAGAAAAATAATTTAGCTATTTTTTTTTAATTCAACATAATGTTCAAAATCACGGCGATAATTTCACTCATGCTTATTGGTAAGTATATTATTTTTATGAATATTATAACTCGTACATATATCCTATTAAATATTAATTTTGGATGACACAAAGATAATTTTAAAATTAAAAGTAATGGTTACTATTAAAATGTTACGTTAGTGACGCCAAAACAAAATAGAAGGCATAAACTAACATGATACTTTATCAAAACAAAACAAAAAATATTTTAGTTCTAATACACTGAAATATTGACTTTTTTAATTGAATGAATAAATTTTCTGCCAGCGACTTGGTCGCAAGCAGTTTCTAGAAGAAATAAGAAGGATTCACGTCCTACTGAAGATTTCGACACAGGTAATATGGAAGATCGTAGTGGTGGTAGATTTGAATATAAGATTAGTATTAGTTATGGTAAATGCATGATATAGGGAATGCTTAGATATGTTATAGTACCTGTTTTAAGTCTAATTTACTGTTTCAATTCATGTAGCCTCCTAGGAATGTGTATTTAACGTAGAAAAGTAAATTAATTAATTAGTTTGAATGTGTGCTGTATTCTTTTCTGAATTACTGATGTAGACTCTTCCTTATTATCTTACCTTACTTATTTGTTAAAATGTGCAGGTAGTTATATATACATATTTGTAGCAAAGTACAATATCATGTTATACTAAGCGGACAAAATGATGTATAAACTAAATTATGATAAATTCACCGTGAGCCATTATAAATCGAAAATAAAATTGTGAGACATATTAATTTCCGAAATAGACTATATAGTATTAATAATGATATCTATAACTAACTTTATAATAATGAATTACACCGACTTTTGTTAAGAGTTGCTTAGTTTTTGAGCCCATTCTTTAAAGCGAATTTCCTGAACGTGTGATATTTAAAAAAATTGTGTAATTTTAAAAGTGCTTGACTAACGAATATTTTTATTTCAATATTATTTCTTTACGTTTACGAGTTAGTTATTCTTTAACAGGGAGCACGCTATGGGCGGCGGGCTTGTCCTGTGACTCGTGCGGCAGTGAGTGCGCCTCGGCGTGTGGCACGAGGCACTTCCGATCCTGCTGCTTCAACTACCTCAGGAAGAAACGAGGTCCAGATGCGGTCAAGGCTGGTTTCTCTTTGTATTTCTCCAACGGTTGCTCAATTTTTTTCCGTTTAGGAACACGTTAGCAAGCTATGCGTATATTTTTAAACTGTAGATTTCCATCGATAAAAACATTAATGCAAATATGATGCCACCGATTAAGTTTCAATTGTTATACAAAACTATTTTCTGTAAATATTTCATTTTTGTTAAAAATAATTATGTCTGGACTGATTTTAAAAATTCTTTAATCTTAGGGAAACTATGGGCGAAGTAGCGTGAAAATAATTTAAATCAAGTCGTTCTGTAAGATCGTCTTTTGATGACGGTATGATACGTCGGTTTCAAGATGGTGCTATCTCTGAAGTCCCGGGCATGATACTCGGTCGGATCACTGCACAAAATTAACTTTTCTTTATTTACTCTGGTCTTGGATTTATGGAAGATTTTCATAATACAAGTACACTTTACTTAACTTGGAAACGTGTTTTCAAATGTATATAGATATTAAATGTTAGATGTGATAAATAACTATAATATATTACAACTAATTCAAATTCAAAATAGGCAGACATAAACTTCCATTGAATCTCCTGTTCAGACTTAGTTGATTATTTTATTGATATTAAACTTCGCTCTCACTTTCCAGCTCTGGACACCAAACCTGCAAGATGCGAAAGAGAACCAACAGGAGAGGTTCCCGATCTTTGCTGTTAAATCTATACCGGATCCCTGGTACACAAATCTCGTGTCAAACAGTTACAGACCTTATCCTTATGAAGATACGGCCGATAACCACTTGCAAATGATTTATGACCTTTAAATAATTTTGTTGTTTATTGAAATTCTACAAGGCTGCAATCTATCATATAAATAGTTTTATAAAAACTCAAATGGCAAATATAGTATAAGTTCGGAGACACGAGTTATATAAAAATAAATAAAATTGGCTATAAATACAAATGGTAAGATAGTCAATTTCATATTCAAAATGGCGACTAGGCATATACTTAACACTTATGTTAGAGAATTGATCGTTATTGTTTTGTGTGTACTTTTTACTTAGATCCTATTATAAAACATTTATTTTTGTTTTGTTTATATCCTGAATAATATATTTATATAAATTTTACGACCATTTTGGCTGGGAATGGACGTAAAAAGCATAAAATGATTATAAATCAAAGCGAAATAGATAAGTATAGAGATTAAGTCATAATTTGATAACAAATGAATAATAAAGAAATCTTTGGTATCCAGAGCTTTGTGTTTTATTTATAAATGTGGCCCGTTACGAAAGATAGGTAGATTATCTTAATGTTTTATTTATAGCTATTGTAGAAATATGTAGTGTATATGTCGTGTTGAATTTTTTAAGTAGTTCTTATTTTTACTGTTTCCTGAAAAAAAAATTATATCACCTAATTATTTAAAGTGTACCAATACGTTTATTGAATTATTATTATAATGGAAATCATAACATAAGATTTGGTAGAAAATCGCTTTCTAAACCCCATGTCACTGGTGTGTGCTAGTGTGTCCACGGTGGGCTTTTTTTAACCCAGGGGAAATGCAATCTTAAGACTTAAACCAGGGCTCTCCGCCCCTCACCCTTCCTGAAAAATACAGGTTTAAGCGAGGCCGTCCTACCTGGTAAAACTGCGAATACCCTCTGGAGATTGGGGGAGAGGAAGACCAGGGTTATGTCTATGGTGGTTATTCTTAAAGTACAACGCTTTATTGTCACTGATTCACATTTTCGAAAGCCAATCTAATACATCATCAATTAATTTTATATCTGTGTATTATTATCACGTATCTAAGTAACGGCTTGTTTCTGCCTACCTCATAATTGACTTAAATCGATAATAGAACCAAGGTACTCTATCAATTCTTATTTTATTTATTCTTTTGGTCGTTTATCGATATTCATAAATATAAAAGAGATAAAAATGATATATATGAAAGAAGCTAATTAAAAAAATAAGTGATAGTGACTTAATTAGCTAATTAACATTTATCTTTGTCACAATTAAATAACATGATATTTTAAGAATGGTAACTACGCTACGTCGTAGCACCTGCTACAATCGGTAGCGTACAATTCGTAGCAAGAAAGTAATCGTAGCGTAAAATTGGTCATAGCATCATTAGGCTTTCATATCTAAGAAAAGGGCCTATTGTAATATCACTCGTATTGGTGTCTGCCTGTCACAGTTAAGTTATAACGAAATTGCTGGAGAAAGGCACACATGAACAATGTATGTTGTACAATGATCAAAAAAAGGACAATGGACAAATGAATTTTAGACAAGAATAAAAAATTGTGAATGCAAATATAATCAAATACTTAATTAAAATTTTTAAAACTACCGGTAATGAAGTTAATGATGATTGTTTTGTAATAATATAATAATAAATATAGAAAAACATTCATATGAAGTAAGCTATGCTCGTACACATTATGTACTTAATTTTTATATAAATTAAGTACATAATGTGTTATGTTGTTTTGATTTGGTATTAAACCTCCAAAGATATGCGTTATGTTTTTCAAGCCAAATCAGAGATTTTAGCCGTTTATTTGTACCTATGGACAAATAAATATTGTACCTGTGGACTGTCCTTATTTACGTACTCTGAATTGTACACTATGTAATTATATATTAATTTTTTATTTATTTTGTTTTTAAGTGCTTCGTAGTAAAACTGGGGTGATTCGCAATGTTCAGAGGCTCTTATGGTAGCAGTCAAAGAAATCAAAAGTAGAGTTTTGATTCGTAAAATTGTTGAGAATACAAAATACCAAAGTTAAATATTCTCAAATAAATAAAAACAAATGAAATTAGTGACACAGACCTTAGACCTTTTAGGAAGGTTGTAATTCTAAGCATTCATAAAAATGAGTCTCTTCACCTTCAATTAGAAGAAGTTCTACTTATGCGTATGGGGTTAGATTTGATTGCTAATTTTATTGTATCATGACTAGCCCATAAAATTTTAGTTTATTTGATTTTTCGAAAGTTTTATACGCTGAATATATGTTATGTTCAAAAAATTCACTTCTTGAAGTGTTATGTATATAGATATTTGCTTTATATTAAAGTTTTATGATATTTAAATTGTCTGTCCATACATAAACTACTGTCCAAAGGTACATTTGGTCTTGTCTATAGGTACATTCAATATTTGTGCCTGTGGAGAAAAAGAGACTTTTTTAATATGTTATTTTCTCAAATACTATCAATTATATTTACCTGGCTAAGACTGCTTATTACACAGTTAATTTGTACTTAAGATGATGATAGTGTGCAATAAAGGGTCTTAGCGAAAAAAATAACTTTAAAAATACATTTGACTTATTTATTTACCCCTGGCTAGCATAATCTACCACCAGTTCCAAATTTGGGAGTCTTGTCTGAGAAGAACTGGTGAAATAAACTCCGATAAGAAAAGAGAATTGCTCCCTTTGATTTAATAGGTATTTACAGAATGAACTCACTATATTCTAAATTCTGAAAAACTTCCACATGTAAAGCACATAACCCTACCTAAAAAAAGATATGAAAGTTTAAAATATTTTTATATTGACATAAAATATATAAATATAAGATTATAATAAAATATCTTTCAGAACTTTTCAAAAATATCACGGAATTGCTTATTAGGGTATAGATATTACTCAATGTTATTCGATCCTTACGTTATCATTTATTCGAACAATATTACTTTTAAGGAAATCATGGTACCAATTGATAGTAATATTACTTTGAGCTTACATTCAAAGGTGGTGTAAGCCACCTGTAGCTCAATCCAGGAGATCAAAAAGGTGCTATCGCATATTTTATGAAAAAAATCTCTGCAATTTTAGCTATAATTAAAAAGTTAAGCTCAATTTAAATAAGTGAAACCTTTGCGCTTTTCAACAAGACAAAATTATTAATTAATTTTTGATGCAGATATCAAAAATTACTTTACGCAGAAATTACAGTCAAAGTCAAAATAATCATTATACAAATAGACTTCTTAAAAGTACTTTTGAATCGTCCAACATTTTTTTCCCTACCGCTCGTTCGGGACGTCTTTTGGCTGATAAAAAGAACGAGCAAGAAACTCACCAGCTCTAATAGGAGTAATGACATTAACAAAAACCATGTCTAATGACATTAACAAAAACCATGTCAGTGGAAGTGAAATGGGGCTCTTATAAAAACTTTCGAAGAAAAACGATTTCACAAATTGGTTCTTTGGTTGGAAATCGGTGAACATACTCAATAAACATATAAGTATATACGCATCGAACATAGAATTTCCTTCGTTTTGATTTTGAAGTCGTTTAAAATATACATAGGATATAGATATGACGTTTAAGTTTTTTTTTTTAAACCAGTCTAATAAAAGAGAGTTTTCAAAATCGATCAACATTAAAAACACGTAACCATTGTACATAGAAATTCTTCCTTTACGATTTTGAAGACTTAAGAAGATTTCTTATGTTGTTAATTGTTGCTGTTTTTATGAAGCTCCTACAATCTACAAGATAACATCTCTCATCATAATATAAACTAGAACTAGATAAAGAATTAAATATTCTAATTTTATTTCTGTCCACTATGAAATTTGATGAATATGAGATGTTCCTAAACACAACACTGCGCAAGCGACAGTGGGGGTAGAAAACGGAAGATGACAATCTATAATTCTCTAATAACTATAACGGATGCTATGTATATTGTATTCATATATGTTTTCTAGTATTAAACTGTACATCTTGCATCTCCAATTTTATTTCACAATTTCATCTGCAACATCTACTACAAGTATAACAACAAATAACAAGGATATTGAAAGACGGCGCAAACATGAGGTACACAAAGCTAACATTTTCTAAATTTCTTAAATGGCGTATTAAACGTAAAATTGTATTGAGCTGTATACGTTTCAATATAAAATATCGTGTTTGACATTCTCCCAATAAACTTATTGATTTAATGAGTTATACATAACGTACTTAGCAAAGATTTTATATTTTAATCATCAAAAGCAGTCAGATAAAAGAGTGACGAGATCACACGACGAGAATAAACGAGCTATAATAAGGATTATATGTATTTATATATTTACGGTATTATGTATTATATTTATATGTATTATACAGGTACGGAACCTGAAAACGAAATGGATAGCAAATCCGGCTTATTTTTTATGTAGAATATTTTGCAAATATTACAAGAAAGTTCATTAAAAAACAACAAAATATGTAATGTATTCTGTAGTACAAACAAACAAGAGATTCCATTCTTGCTACGATTACATTCTTGCTACGCAGTAGTCAGCTACGGATTCTTTGTAGCAAGTTCCGTAGCCGTAGCTAATTGTAAGTGTAGTCAGTAATTTTGCTTAGCCTCTACTTCAAAGCAGATTTTTGTTCGCAAAGTGTAAACCTGATTTCAGATGATTATAAAAAATGGTTTATTTAAAGTGTATGAGTTATAAAAATGTAGCTTTTAGAATAACAAAAAATTGGTTGATTCATGAAAGCTCGGCGGGCTAAGGAGCATTAAAGTAATTTATTTTATTGAAGGTTGGTTCGCAAATTTTCGGTTTAAACGTAAAGTAACAAAAAAGAACACATATTCATATTTTTTTGACCATAAACAATTAGAAAATGAGAAAAAGAAAATAATAAATTAATTGGAGTAATTCTTTCAAAAAATATTTACTCAGGTTTTTCAGGCTTTATTAATCACATAAATCCTTATCTTTTCTGGGCTTACGCTCAGAAAACAAACCGTTAATTTATAAAAACGCCTGTTTATGAGAGTAAGATCTAAAGTATTTTTTTTAGTGGGAAGAGAGAACGTATTAAGCTTATTCTTATGATGTAATATAATAACGTCAAGTAACTAGTATGTTACATTCCAAATGAAACACGATACACAAACTGTTACTATTTACTGCGTGTTCAACCGGCACCATTAGTTAAACAAACTTTCTGTCGTATAAAAGGGGACTCACTTCGTGTATTCCATTATTCACACGCCAGCTGTTCTTGTAGCGCCATCTTGGAAGCTTTTTGCGGGACTGATTGATATTTTATTTTTTAAATTAATCAAAAATGAAGACTGCTTTACTAGTTTTATTCTTGTTCGTAGGTGAGTTTTTATAAAGTTTTAAATAATTTCAGATTTCAGAACTTTATAATATAATCTTAATATTGTAGTTGTTTCTCAACGTGGCGGCTTTATATAAAAAAAACAATGAATGATAAATCTGACATTGAGTTTCTGGTTGATGATTTTCAAAAAAGCTTTCCTGCTGTACTTTCCCAGATTTACTATAACACAGTATTGTAATAAATGTAGATTTTTCAATTGATTATTTTCAGTGGGTGTTTGTGTCGGCAACCAGTGTAGTTCGTGCGGCAGCGAGTGTGCCTCCGCTTGCGGTACGAGGAGGTTCAGGGCGTGCTGCTTCAACTACTTGAGGAGGAAGAGGCCTGATGCTCTAGAGGCGAGTGAATAGGCATATAAACTAATTTTTAAAGCACCAGCCGTTTCCCGCGGCTTTGTCATACATACGTAGACACATATGTGTGTATTAACTAACATTTCTTAATAATCTAGAATCATTTACAGTACATGCTCCATTTATAAGAGGCATCATCAAACTTTGTTTGTAGAAGTACCAATACTCTTGAAATATAGATTTTAATGAGCCACATTAAGGTCCAACACACGACTATCGAGATAAGTTTTACTCTTCAAATAGAAATAGTTATATATAATACGAAATTTCCACTATCAATTTTAAATTTTAAACTGCTACAAACAAAGTGAAGCAAAGCGAATAATTTTCCATTCCCACTTTGGCCCTATTAAATAATCGTGCTTTTCTTTGTATATATCCCAAAAGTTATAAATTCTATGTAAAGACATATCTTTCTTCCAGTTTTTGATGCCTGACGTAAAGGAAATGAGGAAAGAAGAACAGGATAGACAGCAAGCGTCGCATTCGAAGAGTTTTCCAGAAGTAGCAAGCGAATCGAAACCTTACCCTTACGGAGATATCGCCGAATCTTATCTGCTAAATGCTTACGAGTAAATTAAACTATCAAAATTTTAGGACGGCAATTTTAAATCATTGTTTTATCAATAGTATTTATAACGTAAAACTCTATATGTTACTCGCAGTGTTGTTATTTCATAAAAAAACATTGAACAAGTTGTGAAGTCAATTTAAAATTAAATTTTGAAGAATTTTCAATATACTGCAGTGTCTATCCAATATAATGTCATGGCAAAGAACTAAAAAAAAAAATAGAAATAATTTAAGAACCAATTCCAAGGGTTGCTATGTTGCATCTAATTTATATTCAGTTATATTTCGTTAATTTATTGCTACGTATTTTGTTAAAAAATGAAGTTTAAGTTTCTTTTAACAATGTCTGAATGCACAGGATAATTATAATACTGTCTGTCTAGTTCGGAATGTAATGTTGAATAATATCAAAAAAATAATGATTTATTACTGAGAATCTGTTAAATATGAGTATTATTAAATTAAACTCCATAGACACGGTGAAATCTTTTATTTCCCTTTTGATATATTTATATTTATTTAAGTATATAATTTAATACCTATGACTAGGAATCATGGACAGATATAGCTCTATTTATAATTCAACATATACTTATACTTACTTAAAAACAAGAAATTTATCTTTCTAAATAATCTAATTTGTATTTGAAATCAGAAAAAAATTACGTACAAATTAATCTATAAATATACTGCAAAAAAGCTATCCACAGATAATTAAACACTGTTTTCGTGTCAATGAATTGCTTTGTTTTTCATCAAAGCAGTAAAATATCAATTAAAACAATGAATATTAAATATTCAGACATGCAAACGATCAAAATTCAATTTGGCTTTATAATTTTATCAATATATGGCACTTAATTATTAAACTTTAATAATAATATTTAAAACTATTAATAAATAACTACGTCACCTCCTAGATCTAAAGAATAATTTCAAAGAGTCAATAGTAAAATCAATCTTAGTTTCTCCTTTGTTATTTGTATAATTGATTTTATTTAATTTACAAAATCGTGTTCTTTTATTATGCATAAAACGAAATGTAAATCATATGGCACCATTTATGTAATTTTTATGCAATAAATGTGTTTTGTTTTCGCGAATATTCTTATTTTCTTTTATTCAAAACAAATACAACCGTACAGCCTTTTATTTATTTTTTTCTTAAACAATTGAGCCAGAACGCTACGGCCATTATGTACAGCCAAATTTCGATTTTTTCTTTTTTAAATAAATGTTTTGCGTTTTGTTTATTGGTTGAATTGGACTTCCTTTGACTTTCGTCGGGATATTTCGGCGCTTGCTTCCTGGATAGCTTCCCAGAGTTTAGCCTCAGATAAGATTTGGCGGGAAAGCTCTTCTATTGCGTTTTCTGAATCGAGAATAGAACCTAGTGCGTCGTCGTCAACGAACTGAAAATAAAAAAGTAATATGTAAAAATTTATTACTTCAATACATCAGTCCAACAAATATAACTTGAGTTATTTATTTATAATAGAACAACTAATTAAATAAAAAAAAAACTACTGGACTTATTTGAAAAACTCTGTGTTTGTGTCTGTTAGAAAAACTCATACATTGTAGCCGATTTCTGATTTTTCATAATAGAAATGATCATCTGTGTACATAAGCGTAAGAAAAATCGTTGTATCTATATCAAAAACAACACAAATGTTTTCTTGTTGAAAAATGCTTAATTAATCCACCAGCATCATATGCTCTGAGGTGGGATTCGAACCCACGACCTTTCCTAAACTTGAAAAAAATTCACCTAAAGACAGTTAAAGTCCTGTTAAAGTAGTAAAATAAATGGAAATATGGCTAGAGAAAGCGGTCGCACCCCTGGAGACCTTACATGCACGCGAAGACAGACCCACGTTATTCATAGAAGCACGTAAGACGTAAGTAGGTATCGTTCTTTCCTTGTCATAAATACATAACTTTTCAGTTGTATGTCTTCTAGTTTTTAATAATTTGATAAGATCAGTGGCAGACTAAGGAGGGCCCCGAGCCTTCAGACTTAGAAGTCTGGAGGCTTGGGGGTGCGGTAGGCCGCAGCATAAACTTTTAAACTTTCGCTTGCATTATATTAGATTATTTAAGGCGGGTAATAACGCGATAGATTTTGATAGTTAGGTTTTTCACCTACCTATATTTCCCGACGTTTCGACCGGGTTACAATACTATCAATCTTTATAAGGTATTATACAGTCTAATACTAGCCGCAGCCGTCCGCCAAAGTCATTAATATAATAAAGTTAAAAATGTATGGCGAGGGAGGGATGTAAAAAGTTGCCGCACCAGGCCTTAGTGATGTTAGTTCGCCACTGGATAAGACATAACAAAGTTTATTACGAAAAGCGCCTCTTATGTTATTCTTTAATTTAATTTTTCAAACCGTCTCCTGACTCCCGACAGATCAATTTACCTGTCTTTGCCTGATGAGCTCTTGGACCGGCATCCCTGGCGCCCCTTGGGACCTCTTGCGACCGCAACCTGAAACCAAATTATTATTGTAATTAATTTTTTATCCTTTTAAATATTCCCAACTGTTTTGAAAGCACATTTTTATTCTTGGTTAGCAGTAATAAGTGTATGTGCGTGTGCAATGTAGTTATACATACTACATAGCATACTTACATACTACATAGGCTGTAGTTGTGGCGATTTTTTATAAACATTTCGTCTAAAGCAGTCGCCCTGATTACGAAAGGTCATGGGTTCAAGTCCCATCCCAGAATGCCAGGGACAAAGTGATTTTTTTTAATCATTTTTCATAAATTTTCAGTACATACAAAGTTGATTAAATATAATAAACACTTCGTTAGTGCAAACTAAAGTTAAAAATAAAATATTATATTATTTTACTCCAAAATGATGTTTGAACTATGAAACTGATTGAAATGAAATTATCTTTATTCAAGTAGGCTTATTACAATCACTTTTGAATCGTTTTTAAATATTTCTTTAATTCATATTTAGAGCAATGACAAATTATCAAGTTGGTTCAGAAAGTGAAAGAACTAAGTCTATTAGTATTACGGTAATGATATCAGTAGTAGCTCGGTGGCGTAGTGGATAAGCGCCGCGGCCCGCGATCGTAGTCGTTAAGCAACTTTCGCAAGGGTCGGTCACGGGATGGGTGACCAAAAAATTATTATCTCGAGCTACTCCGTGCTTAGGAAGGCACGTTAAGCCGTTGGACCCGGCTGCATTTGCAGTCGTCAATACCCTCCAATCCGCATTGGGCCAGCGTGGAGGGTCATGGCCCATCCTCCTTAACCATCCATAAGGAAGGCCTGAGCCCCTGCAGTGAGGACGTAAAAGGGCTGGTGGTGAATGATAATCAGGATATAATCTTTTGGAATCCGTCTATTAAGCCTATTAAGTTAATACCCATATTATATTTGAAACGAAATAAAATATTGTTAAATATAATGGCGTCACACAGCCGCCATATTAGATTTTTTACCCGACTGCGCAACGCAAAATAGGGTAATGTGTTTATGAGTCTATGTATGTATGTTTGTTCCTATATGGCATTGTAGAGACCAAAAGGCTTGGCTAATTTTGATGATATATACGTCAATCGATTTGTCTTAATCTTGCGAGTGGTACTAATCACTTCTTTTTTTAGGGTATCTCCCCTACATGTAAAGTGGGGATGATTGTTTATTTTTTAGATTTCCCTATAATGTGGGATATTGTTGGATAGGTCTTTCAAAAATATTAGAAGTGTGCGAAGACCGTTTTTAGATATAGTGAGCCGTTCGTAAATTATTAAGCTTTTAAGTGCCAAGAACTACTTTGGATCGAGCGAGTCTTTGTCGTTGATCTGACTTGAGTTCGCGAATTTTTGCTAAAGGTGAAGCATATCTAGTTTTGAGCCGAGTAAGCTCTCTAGAGGGACTAATAATCAGTAGCAGGGCTTGAAACCGGTTCAGAATAAACCGTTTTTATTTAGGTAAAACCTGTTCTATTATAATGTTTCGTTCCGGAGCGGAACTAAATGCGGAGTGAAATTCGATAGAATAAATACCGGTTAATTCGCTTGGTTTGTAAAAAGCAATGTTCTTACGCTTTTAATGCGAATTATATCATTTTTAAGCGACGACATTTATCATACCTATGTACGGATGTTATAGATAGGAGTGTAGGCACTAAAAAACCGCGCTGAAGTTTGTGAGATCATTGTCTGGAGTCATATTTAAACCGGTTAATGAAGAAAACCGTATTTCTAGTGAACCGGTTTAAAGACCTGTTCAAAGGAGCTGAACCTTTTATGTAAAGTTTCGCATGTACTTACGTCGAACCGGTTCAAAAAATAAATTGGTTTCCAAGCTCTGATCAGTAGTTTAGACCACCGCAAGTTGCTGAATAATCCATAAGATATAAAGTCTCATGAAATGACAAGGTTGCGAAGTTTACCGTCTTATAGTATAACAAATTATACGGGACTCTGTTGATTGGTCAAAAAGGAATGGGTTCCGACTGTTGATCCTTCTATTCTGCTTTTGAATTTATGGTACGTTTTATGTGTGTATAGATTTTAAAACTATTTCAATGGAACATTTATTCAGTTGTACTTAATAACATTCCAAACTACTGGGCTTGTTTATTTCTTTTTAGTTTTAGCGAAAGTTATTATATATTTTTTTTCACTTCTTTCTTTTGTTTTCACGCAGTCGGGTTCTTTTAACGTTACCTATCTAAAAACACTTGGGCTTTTAAGACAAATCTAACGATACCTATATATTTAAATCCGTTTAGCGGTTCTGATTTTAGTGGTAATAAAGTATATTAAGAAGATACACGCGAAACACATAACCCTACCTCAATCAAATACGTTGGTAATTAAAACCGCTATTTATTACACAATGAGGATCCACCAAATACTTCATGATATGATCATTATTCACGTTCAATTACCTGTGAAAGCGTTACAGAATGGTCTCTTCTTGGGTGTCAGTACCATCTCCTCCGTTAGTCGAGGGTCATAGCTCCTCGGGATCTGAAATTAGCAAATGTATATTAATTAATAGTAGATATTGAACTCGGACAGTTACTGCACGTTCTATCGACGCGTGTGTGGGTGCTAAGATGTCCATCCGTCGCTGTCTGGCGGATACTTTTAGATATGCGTCGTGTGTCCATGCACATTATTTCATACCTTCTATAGTTATTAACAAACTTATTATTTTAAGGCACCGATGACATAGATGGAGTGGAAATAATACTAAATTCAGTTTAATTAATAATATGAATCTCCTAAACAACGATACTAACAAACTAATAGTTCTAATTTCCTCTCCATGTCCCAGCTTTTTTAAATATTGTGACAAATATGCAAGTTCAGCTTTGCAAAGCTCTTAAAAAAACATAATTAGTATGCTTGTAAGTAATACTCGTAAAATAGAGAAACATATTACCGATGCTGAGTAACAGCAGTCCATGATCAAGATGGCCGCGACCACGAACAAAGATACACGGGAAACGGCAGCCATTTTGTACAGTTTTTTCGTTAGTAAAATGGCACACCTGGAACATGAGATTTGGAAGTCCTTTAGATTACTTACACTCTATTTTATTTCGATTACTATAAGACAGGCCATATAATTAATTAAAATGAAAAAACCGTTATAATTTACATTAAAATTCAACGTTCATACCAGTATTTCTATATTATCTATGGTTCATACTGATGAATCGATCGCAGAATTGTTTACTTTTTATACATTCGAACTTTTCAATAGTAGACGTTATAGGACATTATTGCGCTTATAGATTTTCATTCACGACTTCTGCAGTTAGTTTATTTTACAGCAGATTTAATTAATTTGACGTGTCACAAACACAAAGCTCACACTTATACGATCGACACCCGGGGCGCGCCACGGGACGCATATTGCGAGACACAGATTAAAATAATACCAGTAAACTCAAATTAAGAGGCCATTTAAAACTGAATACCGAATCAATTCAATAAATTAAACCTGTACGATTATTACTTTTAGTTAATTTTTAATTCATAATGTTATCGCACTTATACATTACTTATTATAATATAATTCAGTTACCGACGGGTCGTTGTTACGAGTCCGGGGTCTTTTCAGGCGTAAGACTCTTTTATTTAAGTATGTTTAAGATTAATAAGTTTAAATAAGGCGAGGAAGAATCATCACCGCATAGTATAAAAAAAAGTCACTTTCTCTGTCCCAATAACCCTATGTATGCTTAAATCTTTGTTACGGATTTTAATGCGGTTTTTTTTCATAGATAGGGAGATTCAAAAGGAAGCTTTTAATGTATAATACAAGACCACGCCTGCCAAGCCGCTGGCGGAAAACTAGTATAATATATTATCTTATTAAGTATAACACGGCTCAAAAGTAGATACATTAAATATCGACAAAAGAAACTTTACTTATAGAATAATATTAAGTACTATCACTTTTTTATATAATACGGCATACAAACAGCAAAGGTCATAAGACATTGACTTTAATTAAATAAATCAATTAATATTTTATTTTACGAATTTAAACAATTAATAACATTCGTGTTCTAATTTACAACTGTGGGTTCTATACAATTGTGTAAAAGTTCGTACAAACCAAGAAGCACATAGAATCTCTATGTGTGACTGGAAAGTATATTATTATGTATGTTCATCGAATATCCCGAGAATGTTGACCAATTTTCAAAATTCGATAAATATACATAAAAAAATACCCGTCGAACATCGTTAACCCCCTTTTTCGATATGAAGTCTATTAATAATACAATTGAAAAAGTAACTACAGTAAGTAACGATGAATTAACACGAATTGAAATATATTTAACAGATCAAATGCTAACAGTTAACAATTAAGCGAGTCAACTAACTTAATTAAGCGAGTTACTTGAACTTAGATACCTGCTTAGTTGACATTTGCAAAGTTTTATTTAGTTTACCAGTAGGTCTGGGATGCCTTAACAATTAAAGATACTATTTTCTTTCTTAATTGTGGAACTACCTTGGATACATGCGACTTTGCTTACAAATAGCTCGGTTTGAAAGAATTTTAAGTTTTCACTGGGACATGATAAGGTGAAACTTGCACAGGAGCGTTTCGATCGGTGGTATTGGTACAATTTAGGAATTCGGGAAGTATTTATAATTTGTTTAGCATTTAATTTGTCATTATAATTATATTCATGTCATGATATGAATCGATATACAAATAAACCATTCCCTATTGACAACGTGGGCGAAGTCTCTTAGAGATTGGCAGTTAGTTGAGCAAAATTTCCCAGACTTCATAAAGGCTGATTATTGGCCTTCAGCTAGTCCGGACTTAAACTCTTTGGACTATAAATTGTGGTCTGTGCTAGAGGACATGCCTGCTCTAAGCGTCACCCAAATATTGAGACAAGAAATCTTTGGTGGCAGCAGTGACCAAGTTTCCAATGGAAACCGTTCGTAAATCCATCGACGGATGGCCCGACCGTTTAAAAGCGTGCGTTAAAGCTAAGGGTGGACACTTTGAATAACCACTTTAGTACATTACCATATCTTTTTCACTCAACATAATCACATAGAAAACTTAAAAATAATTTTTTTTTTTTGAAATTATCGGATATTTTCTTTGTAACAGAATTTATGGCTAAACTAGGTAATCAGATAAAATGTTTGTTGAATGTTTTACATACGAAAACTAGAAATAAAACAAAAATTACAAAGGTTGTTAACAAAATCTAGAAATTTCCATTATACTTAGGTTAGAATTAACATACAAAATCTAAGCATGACTGAAATAACAATAAGTTTAACATATTGATCAAGCAAAGATATACTTGGATGGAACTAATTATTGAATAAAATACTATTGAGAGATTTCTTCAAACTGTTTATTCGTTACCAGGCACTACATAGAAGAAGGTATACCACCCAAAGACTAAACTAAACATAGATACCACGGGATACGACATTACAAGTTTATATCGACGCTGGAAAGCAAATACGTAGTAACCCGCAAAACCAAAATGGATATTTAAAATGGATAATCTTTATATTTTTCCAAAAAACAATATCTTATTTCTGTACAAATTGACTAAGGAACGCCTTCTTTGTTACCATGGACGTTTATAGGAATTATTTATCGAAAAAAATAAAAGTTTTTCTTCTCTGAAGAACAATTTTGGTTTTGTGGGATACTACGTGTATATACCTACTCTTTCCAAAACGTATAATATATGCACGTCGTCTTAACTATAAAACATGTTTTAAAAATCTAATGTCTTGTATAAGCGTTTTAAAAATGTAACCGTATTTTGCGAAAAAAAAAAAGATTAATATCAGAGTGGACACACATACACAAGGCCCATACGACGATAGGTTGGGAAACACTGCTTATTGAATAAGCGATAGTTTTCTTTCAATATAAACAACGTTGACCTCGCAAATTCATCAGCAATTGACCACCCATCATCGTTGCTGTCCCATGCAAACCATAAAACACCACACCTAGACATGCCGAAATTGCTATTATTATGTAATAAATTTTTTATTGCTATGTTGTTCTGCAATATGATTACGCAATGACATATATTATGTAGGAAGCGACAATAATATGTTTCTACTTTTATCTAATAAAACGTGGTGTATTTTAATTGAATACAGGCTTCGCTCACGGTTAAATTTTCATTTAAAACGATTCGAAGAAAAAAGTTGGTCACGGTACCTGGAAAGGATATGAAACTTCTAGAAAATGTAGTAATTTTTCAACAATACACGCGATTAAAACCGTTCAAAGCAATAGTTTAAGAGCTAGAAAATATTTTTGCGTAAGTCTACTACGTGTAATTAGTATTTCCAGTTACTTATATTTTATCCCGAGCTTTCATCAATTTCTATTATTTATTTGTATTTTATAACGTTTCTATAACACTAGATATTTTTTCATTTTATATGATACAATACAATAATATGAATATTTTCAATCATATTAAAGAATAACATAGCAATATAGCCCCCCCCCCCCCACACAAGGTGGACCGACGATTTGGTAAAGGTCGCGGGAAGCCGCTGGATGCGGGAGGCGCAGGACCGATCGCTTTGGAAATCTTTGGGGGAGGCCTATGTCCAGCAGTGGGCGTCTCTCAACTGAAGTGATGATGATGATGATGATGATAGCAATAAACATAATAATAACAAATGAAGGCAAATTACTGATTCGACAACATAAGGGCGTCGATTGTACTATTGAAACGTTTATAGTTAATTGTTATATTATTTTTTTGTGTATTCATTCGTTCATGTGAAATTCTAAAACCATGTCATCGGTTTTTTTAATGTATGGCGGGCGACTTGTACTGAGAAGAACCAGCAACAAAACAAACAAGGCTGATTATTTATTTTATACAGAGAAAACAGACTGAAGAAAAATTACTTCATTAGACTATGAAGTCATCTTCCATTATAGTATTAAAAATAACAAAAACAGATTATTTCGATATTATAAGCGGTTGTGCGAATAATATTTCATTTATAATAATACTAGCTTTCCGCCAGCGGCTCAACCTGCGTGGTCTTGTATTATACATAAAAACCTTCTTTTTAATTCTATGAAAAAAACCACATTAAAATCCGTTGCGTAGTTTTAAAGATTAACAGAGAATGCGACCTTGTTACGATGTAATGATGTGATAAGACTTCAACAATGACGAAATGTAGAGTATTTTTAAAATAAAAGCCTTAAGATGTTTCTATTATTTTTCAATCAGCAAACGTTTACATTTCATTTAGAAAGAAATTTTTATTGGTAAGGTGAAATATGAGATACAATTTGCTATACAAATATTGCATGAAAAAATAATTATAGAGCTCACTTGATTACTTGTAATGTTCTTTGATTAAATATTAATAATCTTAGATTCGAGGAGTAGGAGTATTAGGTATCGCAACGGTTAGCGCTTTCAGGCTGTGATGGGGTAATTAAGCGACTTTCGGAAGAGCCGGTCATAGGATGGGTGACCAAAAATTCATGTAAACTGCCGAAAAGGATATTTTTCCAAAAAAAATCAACTTCGATTTTAAGTTAAAAATGTGTCTTAAGCATTATATTTGATTTGATTGATATTTAACTTGTAGAAAAAATATTTAACTTTTTAAAATTAACATAAACACCATGTATTAAGAAATTGATCCCCTTTAATAAAAAGTAAAAGAAAGTCCGCGGCAGCATGTCTTATCTAATATCTTATCTCGAAAAAAGCTCATAAAGGGATGAAAATAGGGGTGGAAGTGCGAAGGGCATTAAATCTTTACCATAGTTTCCATTAGTTACAATACAATTTGTTATTGTAATTATATTCCATGTCATACTTTTCCCCAAATCCATTATTAAATCATTTAAACTGATTACCAGAGGTCGAAATTAGGTAGAGTTATTTATGTACTTGCATCGAAATGTTGATATTAATGTGGACCTTCGTGGCAACATCGCGCGTATTGGTATTTTGC